ACAATCTCACGGAAAAATATTTATGCGTTTTCAGCATAGCCCAAACAAAATGTTAGATATCAAAGCAGCCACGCTATAGAGGCCTACTCAATAAGCAGCGGTCCAGCATTCAGATGGTGTGATTATATAGAGTTGCTGATGAATTTGTTGTATTATTTCCAGTTATTCTTTCACAATATCCCTAATATTCTGGTATTTTTATAAACATTTGTTTGCGGTCATAGACATTTTGTAAGCATTTGTTGAAATCATTAATATTTATCTGCAGCAATTGCGCCATTTATCACAAGCACAACTTATGATGCTATGAAGTCTAATAAGCAGTAGTGTGTAGCAGACTATTTAATCGCATAGATTGCCACCTTGATCAGTATTCAGTATCATTTAAAACACTCATGAAGTTTTTTTTAAAATTTATTATTTACAATTTTCACATTTTTTCGTAATATTGGATACAAAATCATATGGAAATATAAATATGAAATTTTTTTAGGACACTGAAAATCAAATGCGACCATAAAAAGATTGTGCAGATCAGATTCGAGTCGAAACAAACAAAAAAAAAACATCAGAAATATTTTCCTCGCTGAGTTCAAATTAGAGAAAAGTGACACTGCTTGGTGCACAGTCTAAAAACAAAAAACCAACGATTGAATATCCGGTAGCGATAGCTTCATACATATACACAACATTGCTGTATTGCACAAGCATTCGTGTTGTTACATTGATTAAAAAAATGCATTGAAACTGGGCTAAGCTTCCGCGCGCATCGGATAGCTAGACAATTGTAGGGTATACGCGTTGTGCCAATAGGTTTGGTTGTTGCAGGCCAAGGGATTCACACATTGTCCAGTGCGGCTTTTTATCAAAGTTTAGTGTCATAGGTCACCGAAGGGACTGCTCTATAACCCTCACATATATATATTTGGTAATCATTATATAAATCGTAAACCGCACTTTCCACGCGCCTGCCGCTTACACTTAGGTACTGATGAATTATTCAAAAGAAATCCTGTTTTAACTGTGTAGAGTAACTGTACGAATCTATTAGGCGATATCGACCGATTGCAAAATAAGAACTAACTAACAAATTATGCATTTGATTGCAGTTGCGGAGTCAGTAGCAATCTGCTTGACGTGTTTATTGCCAAGAGTATTTATAAAATTATTAGGAAGGAGAATGCTAAAACTCCAATATTTTGTACATAACGTCACATTGTGAGCATTATTGTTTTAATGTATTTTTAATATAGGAGAGGAGTGGACTTAGCTTCTTTTTGAATGACGACTACAAATTACTAAGTAGGATAACCAATGGTCGACTTTGATGAGTCTCAATACATCGAAACCTTACCTTTTTTACTGATATTATTAAACGTATACAATTATATTGAGCATTTTCGGCAAAATTCAACAAATTTAAATAACGATCCATTTCGTTATGTTACTAATAAAATAACGCTTACAAATTGGGATATTCGCGCTATTACTGCACTTCAATCGACGGCCTACAAACTCCGATGGAGACTTGTTTTATATCGACAATTGTCATATATCCCGAGGGGATAACGAATGAATCAGATATGCTATGCCACTCATCCTCGAGAATCGATGTAATTCGGCGGACACATTTGTACGACTTTAAAGAGAATAGAATAGAAATGTACAGATGCCAGTTAAAAATAAGTTTGATACCGTTAAGTGGTCAATGCTGGGTTGATATGAAATGTGGCTCTGGAAGGAAAACGGTTATACTGAAAACTTAAAATTGAATTGTATAAATATGAATGGATGTTAAAATAGGAAATCAGAAATACTATATATATATAGTTCTGAATTTACAATATTTATTATTCATGATTTCAATATGTCGAGGCAGCAGATGCAATGCTGTAGTGTAGTGTCTACCGATCCGTAATAAATTATGTAGAAACATCCGGCTGTCCTACATTGCCCTAGTCCTCGAAGGAATTTAATTTTGAATGTAAAAATGAAAAAACGGAAATAGCAGTTATCGCCATTGTACAAGGTTTCATGCAACTCAATCCACAATCTGTAAATAAGATCTCAAAGCGAGGCATGGTAACACTGGAGTTGATAAAACACTTGCAAAAACAAACGACCTCTGGCGTCTATTTGGCTTACATTAGACTTGACATTAGAAATTCTTACTTCTAAATTTTGGTCTGATTATGCCCATGGTCATATATCTGCTGGTTAATGCGTGATTAAATAAAAACTAATGATTTATTAATCGACGAATTTTTCTTTTATAATCCGACCAGATGACAATGCGCAGGCACAAAACAATTTTAGGTATAGTAACCCTTTTCATATTGTTTTTGGGTGGAATTATGTTAAGCAACAAAACGATGTCCAAATACTACCAACTTTATTCAAAATGCTGCGAGGAAAATAAAAAAGAATGTTTGGCATGTCAAACAAGAACAACAGTAGCAGAAATCTGCACTATGCACCCTGGACAATTCGACTGCTCAACTGAATACTGCTGTAACGAAACTAGAAAAGAATGTCTTGCTTGTTGGAAAGGAATGACTGTAAAAGACTTTTGTAATATGAATCCAATACAATATCAATGTGGTGCAAATCTCATGTTAAGATCTGCTGATAGAAATTCGTCAGATTGTTGTGAAGATATCACAAAGAAATGCTTATCATGCTCCAGGAATATGACTGAGAATGAATTCTGTAGTGAATTTAGTGGGCGTTTTGAATGTGACACAGAGATCATGATAGGTATTCCATTATCGAATAAAGTTGGATACATTGAATTCACAGCATCTGTCTGGCGCAAATATCATCATGTCACCGAAAAACACGTTCATCTCTTTAAAGATACCTCGTCAGCAAACATAAAAAACGAGGATCTCAAAAGATGGTATGGAAAAGATGTTCGCATTATTGAGCCTTATGTTAGGTCGGCCACAGGTGAAAACATCCGAAGACTATTTGAATATTTTGTTAAATCAGATTACAAAGTTCTTCTGCTTGCCAATGTGGAAACAATATTTTTGAAAGGTTTCAAGGATTTTATTAAAACATCTATTACAGAAACAGATGGATTTCTATCTCTTTATCATTCCTCTGTGATGCATAATTACACAGTCGATTGCCAGAAAATGACAGGTCAATTCTGCGAAGGGGACGCATTTGGTACATACGGTGTCGCACTGACAAAAGAAGTTGCCAGTATTATTCTAAAAAATCATCAGAAACCATTTGATGACCTCAACTGGAGCAGGATATTCGAGTCTGTAAATATTAGCTTACTATATCCTACTAAATCACTAAGCATGCAAATCGGACAAGTCGATCAAGCTGAAGATAACTGTGGCCAGAATGAAGTTGCCTACAGGTTCAATCGTTGTGAATTACCAAATTGGATACAAAATGGAATTGAGTTTTATTTTGACAGATGTACAAACCCTAACGAACGATATAACCCCAGAATATCAAATACTGAGTTAACAGAACGTAATTGGACTCGGCCTGTGGTTTCTTATTGCTTATATGGCAACAAGAGACGTTACATTCAAATAGCGCGCGAAAACGCACGTCGCGTTTTCAGTATTTATCCAGGCTGGAAGATGTGGATTTATACGGATGAAACGGTACCGGCACCAATTATGCAAGAACTATGCGAATTCGATATCAGATTTATTGATATGTCAAAGACACAAATTGCGAGTAAAATGTCATGGAGGTTTCTAGTTGCTTCAGAGCCGGTAAAGATGTACGCCATTCGGGATATTGATTCGTACTTACTGATGAGAGGCAAAGCAGCAGTAGATGAATGGATAGCATCAGGTAGAAAGTTTCACAACATGCGTGATAACCCTAATCATTCTAGATATCCAATGAGCGGAGGAATGTGGGGTGGACACCATGATGCAATTCCAAATATGAAAGATCTTTTGGAGTCGAGGCGAATGGACAATAATTACATGACAGATATGAATTTTTTAAATAATGTTGTTTGGAAAATAGCAAGCAAATCTGTGTGGACACATGACTCGTACTCATTGCACAAATTTGGCGAGGACCATCCTTTTCCGACAAAACAAAAAGCGCCAGATTTATTTGTAGGGAATGTTGTTATATGGCCTAGCTGATGTGTAGGTATCTTAGGTTGCACAACGTCAAAAATATAAAGACAATAGTTAGTAAAATTGTCGAATCCGAATTTGCCAGCTTATCCAACTGCGACCTGTTATAGGCACACTGTTATTATGAAATAATTTTTTGTCTCGTTTTACCGCCTCGTTTACAACTAACGTAACTAACTAAGACTATTTTTGTAGTATTTGTCTTCTATTTTCAAATTGTTACGAAAAAAACGTATAAATATTATCTTGGGACTGTTTTTTTAAAAAATAAATCTAAAAAATAAATTCAATGCGGTGCTGAGGAGATCGCTTAGGTGCAAAAAGGTTGCAATAGGTTTAAAGAATTTTTTGTATTAGTCGAGTTCAGATTTCTTGGAAATTGATTTACTCAAATTCCAAATAAGAACGTTAAAATTTAGTCAAGACTGGTACATGGAAGCATACTTCGGTCATGTACAAATAATATGAGTTAGCAGATCATATATGCAATTCCCTTTGGCCTACCTGTTTCCTTGGCAAGATTGACCATGATTGTTTCAAGTCCCTCGCAGTCTATAGACATCTCTACCGAAAACATGAATCAACAAATAGCTCTTTAAGCGTCGATGATAAACGCAACTTTCTTAAGTATATATACTCTTATTGTCTATATTTTTGGGGAATGGATAAGGAACGGTGAATCGAATCTAATTGCGATTATACATTGCCGCCCACAAGACTACGTTATTGTGAGTGTTTTTGCGCAAATGACGCCAAGCGTGGCTACCGTTACATTTCTAATCTCAAACTGAATACAGTAATAAGCCTTCATTCTACCTTATTTCTACAAAATAATAATTTTTTTTTGAAGGTAAAATAGAACCACAGAACACATGACATATTGATTCTAGTGATTACAGTTATTGTAATATCAATAAAGCAGCAAAATAGTGTATTTTATGTGATAACGATAGATCAAGTTTTGATATAGTTATACATTTGTGCTGGTCGCATGATAGCTTCAGAATAGAGTAACAACACACAAAAAGTCAAGGCTTAATTTCAACTGTTCACAAAATTTGTATCAAGGATAGTTAACCGATGATTCGACTGAGTAGATGGCATTATCTGTACAGTTTTTACAATAAGTTACAACAACATTTCATTATTTGCATTTTTTGTCACACTCCGACAAACTCTTGAATCTGTTGGCATTTCCTTCACATCCGCCGTAGATGAAACCGTTACATTTTTTCGATGAAGCGTCGTAAGCCCAACGTCTGTTGAGTCCATTGCAAAAACCGGAGTCTGAAGCCTTGTCGCATTCCCCTGTAAACATGGAATATTTTTTATATCTTGGATTAATATAACGCATGAAAACGCCTCGCATTGCTTTGTGAGAAAAGTCTCATCGGACGGACTAGTCGCACACTAACTTGGATATTATGTTCGTTCTAAATTCTAATTTGTACTTCCGATAACGCACGATTGGAAAAAGTCTATATTTTGTGCACTGTATAATTTTACCTATGAAAACAAAAGAGCAATATTAAAATAGAAGGTCACAAAGGTCAAATAGCTATAGCCAACGCCATCAACATTTTTTATCTAATTGAAAGTATAAAAAATGAGATTTTAGTTTGTATTACTGTTATCGTTGGTGTGTATAGTTCTGTCAAATTACCCAACCAATATCGCTCCCGAGAGATAATATATATTAAAGAACCATTCGAACATGAGGTGAACGGGATATTCCCCTCTTCAACTGGATTATTTGAAGTAGATGTGCTTCTGATGAGAAATATTTTTAGGTGGCTATCCACACGGCCACGAATGACACACTGAGTTATAAAAAAAATAGCAATCACCTTCCCCTATAGCAGGGCTACTCAACTATTTCCATCGAAGGTCCGTTTACAAAACTTCAAAATTACAGGGGTCCGGACATTTCAGAAAATTATTTTATTAAATAAACAAATGCATTATTAAATTAAATACAAGAGCAATGATTGGCTCACAAATATGGACACAAATATCGCACATCGGTACCAGTGCGGCAAACTTTATAGCCGTGTATGTAAATAGTATCAAAATCATCAACAAAAACTCTAAAACGATGCTTATGCTGCAGACGCGGTCCATATTGAATGATCGAAAGGTCCGGATTCGGACCACGGTCCGCCAGTTGAGTAGCCATGCCCTATAGTACCGGTAGCGGATATCACTTGTACGGATGCGGATTATATTATAATATATCTAATTACTGAGACAATAAAAAACTTAACTGAACTTATACATATAGTTTACTTATTAGTTTGGATTAAAACTAAATTGAAGTTAAGTTAGTTGGCATCTGAGAAAATATCATTATTCATAGAAATGATTTGGAGTTTCATGTCAAGTGTGGATTTGAAGTTAACAAGAAAAAATTACTTGAGGACTTATCGACATATTTCATCTTCAATACTTGCCTTTACTAAAAATTTAGGTCGATTGGTCCAATAAATGCAAATTAATTCGATTTTATTCATTATTTTGAACTAACCAACCATAAGTCATACAATTACAAGTATACCTATGTTTTAAATTAGTAAAAAAAAATTCCAGAATAAATACGGATGGAAAGTATAACTTACAGCAAGTATTCTGACACTCTCGTTTGCTGTCGAAATTATTTTTGTTGCCACCTGCACCCTCATAAACAAACAATTCGCATTCAAGAGTTTCAATATTGAAATACCATCGTAAATCACTCTTGCCATTGCTTCCTCTTTTCAAAGGCTCTGCACATCTACCTGAATAACAAATTAAAACTGTCTAATAAAACAGTAAATTTTAAAATGGAAAGAAAAACTGATAAATACTTTTCTGTATAGAATAAGATTTCTTTGTCCGCCATGGCGTTTGGTCCTGCCACTCTTTTTCAAAATGCCTCTCTCGTTATAGAGTTAAGAACTATGAAAATCCTACATGTCAAACCATGTGAAGTATCTCCTTAAACATTTACTCACTTTTAACGGGACAATGAAGTTGGCATTGTCTGAATGAACGAAAATTATTAGCGTTTCCTCCACTCCCACTGTATTGAAAGTATTGGCATTTTTGTTTTTCACTATCGTAATAATAACGATCCATTGGCTCGACATTTTCGTCTTTCACTTTACCACCATCACCAAGATCCTTTGGCAACAGGCAAATATCTGTGAAGATATCAATCAACTGTTTAGTATGCTTGCTCTTAGATAAAAATGGGAGCGCTCCGGAAGTATGTGTACCAAGATGACGCACAACCTGACTGAACCCTGACCTGGTACACAAACTATGTTCAGGTACATGTGCGCAATCTTGATACACATGCTTCGGCAGAAACAATATGGAAATATAATTATACATTACACATGACTTTGGAATATATATCCTTATAAAAGTATGAATGGGATCCTTAATCTTTTCAATGTTTCCAGCTGCTTCACAACTGGGCCAGATAAAACAATGAATCTTACTATTTATCACGAGGGAGAATAAGGCAGATTAAACGATTTAATCGTATGAAGAACCTGAGCCCCTCATTCCGGTTATCTGTCCATATCATACATAAGAATAATAAAATATTTATTTGTTTGGGATAAATGAGGATATTTGATCACATTTGATTCAAAATGACTGCTTTAATGCAATTAAGTTTTATGTCTTCCTATAATGTCGGCAACCTACGGCCCGCGGGCCGCATCCGGCCTGCGGAGTAATATAATCCGACCCGCGACGCTTCACTGAATTATAGTAAGGAAACAGCTGTTTGGACGGTTATTCTTTACGTAACAGAATTTATTGTGAGACACGTGTAGACTAAATTATGTTATAATGTAACAAGTATCAACTTCACAATTACTCGTTTAATGAGCCTATAATTTAATTATAATTAGACCAATGGCAACAAAACGCAGAAAATTTGATGTAGGTACAAAGGGTTCAATGGCGCCGAAAATATTCGGATAGAATTTTTCGAGATGCAATGAAATGAGGAAAGAAATCTATATTTTATTTCAGAGATGTATCACTGCTTGATTTTTATTATAAAGATTATCATCCGTTCGATTTTTAACTTTCAAAAATATGCGCGGCCCGCCAATGACTTGCAACCCCTAATTTTGTCCCGCGAGCGACAAAAGGTTGCCGACCTCTGTCTTGATGTGCTTCATGTTTTATCTTCGGACAAAAGACACAGACATCTGAACGAATCAATATTTGAAAATAATGAAAATGTATTCAAATTGTTTCGTACGAAGCTATCTTTATATGACTACATATTAAGTAGGCTTTAAGGCTACGCCGTGACTTGTGCCTCGGAGATTTCATCACCCTTCACGTTGAAGGAAAACATATATCTTACCCTCTTCCTCTTCAGGACAACGCGCATTACAATCGTCCATTGTGAAAAAGTTATTAGCATTGCCTCCGCATCCTCCATATACGAGGAGATTACATTTTTTCAGTAAATCGTCAAAGTAATATCTCGGTTCCCATTTATCACAGGGGCCTTCGTCTGGTAACATTGAGCAAACTAGAAGAATATGAAAAAAGGTTAAGAGGCTTGTCAAATACATTATGGCATAAGCAAATATAGCGCATCATGTTTTATCACGTTGTTTTACTTTTTCTCAAAATAAAATATTGTGTATTTACAAGTGAGTGCTATAAAATTATATTTTTATGCATTAGATGGTGACCGTACATTTGGGTTCAATCTATATGCGGGTGCTAAAACCCATGGGCTAGGGTTAGTATGGGTTCAAATATCCGTAAAACAAAAAAAATTCCATAGGTGCAATAGTATGCCGGTGCAATTGTCGTGGGTTCAAATGTACGGGGTTCAAATGTAATGGAACCGCATTAGATATCTAGTTAATCGCAACAAATTGTATGGATTTCTTTCAACTTTCAGAAAAAGGATGGAGACAAGTAAACAATGATACATGTGGAGTTGCAATATATTTGATAACAATTGAAAATGTTTCGGTCCTGAATAGTCATATCTCAATTAATTAGGATATTTATTTAATTTGGTTTCGAACCCCGCTTTGCATTTTAGTACTTACCAGACTCTGTTTTTAGAGGACATTTTCTTTCACATTCCAATTTAGACTGGAAATTATTACTATTTCCAAAGCATCCACCATAAGCAAATTGCTTGCATTTTTCATCAATATAATCGTAATACCATCTTTCCAGATTTCTATCACAAGAACCAACCTCCATTTCCATTTTGCACATGTCTGTAAATTCACATGAAAAGTTTATTCTACTCAACATTGCAATGTACGAAAATACCAAAACGATCTGGAATGGGGTTTTCATGTTTATCCAGAAGATAGGATATGGGAATGGGATAGGAAAACAATTCTAACCTGATGTAATCAACCAACATGGGTAGGATATTTCACATTTACTGTAGTATTTAAAAATATATTCATTGATTAAGATTTACCATCGATTGGACATTTTTCTTTGCATTCTTTGTTGGTCATATAATTATTGTTATTGCCGCCTTTTCCTCCGTAAACAAAGGGAACACATTTTCTTTCCGCGCTCTCGTACATCCATCTTACTTCATATTTGTCCACTTTCTCGCCCCTCCCTTTGGGCTCCAAACAGTGCGGATTCACTGAAATAAATTGGAGTAATGGTGGTACAATGCACAATCAGGGCAAATTCATTTTCGAATATTTGATGATTTCAGAATTGAAACTCGTTGAAAGTTGTATTGACTGTTTTATTGTAACGGGTCCTCCAGATACATAAATTAGTAAAACACGTAATCTATCACTCAGTCAGTTCGATGATGTCAGAATTGCATTTCAAAAGTGAAAAAAAAAATGAGGGATTCACCTCGATCTGTGAGCGGGCGAGACAAAACATGATGGCGGCGAATCGAAATTCCCGTCTGAACCAATTCGAATAATATACTATTCGATTCGAAATGTCCAGCCCTAATGAAGCCACGCTTATTGAGAAAGACTCACGAGTCTAGCGACCAGCCATGGAAGGGATGTTGAGTTGTAGGCTACTTTAGCTTTTAATGCTAAAAGGGTTGGTGCCCAAGCTAGAGTCAACAGTAAGTGGTTGTTTTTAATTACGTTAATGTGGAGTTATAATGACCTTAAATTCGATATATACTTACTGTCACGACATGTTTTTCTACAGTCTTTCAATGACATAAAATTGTTCGAGTTTCCTTCGCATCCTCCATACGTAAAAATAGAGCACATTCCTCTGGCCTTATCGAAGAAATACCTCTTTTCTAGACCCTCGCATGGCCCCTTATCAGCAGGTAATAAACAAACTAAAAATAAAAGAATAATATAGTTAACCATGGTCGATAGTTTAAACGCCAAATAGGTTTAATGAATATGGCCGGTCAAATGAAGGTTTTTGGCTACCTAAACTTACTGAATCGACAAAATATCGCAATACTTATCAATGCTTGAAGCACTTTGAATTATACCGCTTGATATATAGCTACATTCATTAAAGCTTAGCAAACTAAATGTGCAATGTCCACCACGCAATCTCAGAGAATCAGGTGTTATAAAGTTATACAGATCAGCTCATTTGCCAAGTGAGGAGGAATTTTATTTAGCGGGGTATTTGCCTATGTAACTAATCAAATAAAAGTTACTTATTCCCCCCTATTACTAACATTCCTCTTGCGCAACTAATTAAAAAAGCGTACTGTTGGTGCATTTTCGTTCGCATTCCAGTGCGCTTGCGAAATTGTTATCATTCCCTTGACATCCACCGTAACGGAACAGTTCGCACATTCTGGTATCAGTATTGTAAAAATATCGTTGTATTGCTGCTTCGCATGGTCCCTGTTCCTTTGGCTGTTCACAAACTGAATATAATTAGGTAGACAATATAAATTATGTAGCCGTGCTCGCAAAGAAGACTGCATAGACTTCATAAAGAATTGAATTTTAAAATAGTTTCAAATTCAGATTTATTGAAAGAAACAGAATATCGTCACGCTAATAACCGAATTGCGTGAGTCATTTTTGGCGATTTTGAGTTTTTTATAAAATAGGTATTTATGTAATGCTGCGCACCTGTCTGTTAACTCAGATTTCATTTTAGGAATTCCGAAACCCATTAAAATGGAGATTTAGTATGACATGCACATTTGTGCAATTATTTCGTCATAATGAATTATCATTGTTACCGCAGGGCTATTGTGACGTCATAAAGGCAAAATAACCTCTGCGAAGTATTTCCGAGTTTTCGCATTTCGGATTCTAGCTTAGCGCGTATTAATTTGAATTTATACTACAGTATAGGAAGACGTGCACTTGTGATATTCACTGTCCGAGTCCAATTCACCTTGGTTGGCTTTTATATTGGGTGCATTGCTGTTTTATTATTTATATTTAATCTTAGATTTCAGTGGGTGTGCAGAACGTGTTATATTGATGAAATATATATTTTTAAACATAAAAAATAATGTAATTGGAACTGATTATCTATTTTCGGGATTACACATTGTAGATACCGAGAATTACATTCGTTTTTGGAATGTTTAGTTTTCAGGACTGGTGCATATAGTAAAGTTGCAAAATTGCGTATGTCCCCAAGTCATACCACATTTCTGCCTAATTCACAGTGCGCCATTATGACGTCACTTAACTGCGTCATACAAATTAACTTAAATCCGGCTAGGATCAAAAAATTTAACCATGGCAAATTATTGACTCTCAATGACATAACAATATCATTAGGAAGTTTTTTACGTTTTTCTCAAAACTGCTAAAAATGACTTACGCAATTCGGTTATTAGCGTGACGAATAATGCAGTTGTCAAATAAATTATGAAGAAAGTGAATAAAAGGCCCCAAACCTTCGATACATTCTTGCTGGCATTCTCCAATACTCCTGAAGTTGTTACCATTCCCTTTGCATCCACCGTATGGAAACATTTCGCATTTTTTCGTTACGAAATTGAAATAATATCGATCTATCGCTGCCTTGCACGGACCTCTGTCTTTCGGATATGAGCAGTCTGTAACAAATATTTTAATCATCGTTTTTTTTTTATTTATTCATGTGAGGACAAAAAGAGAAGGTTCAACCAACATTTTCAATCGCTTGCTCAATAAGAATATGTATAATGTACAAAAAAAAACTCACATGGATTGTTAGCTGCAATTGTGCTTCCAAGAAAGAATCCGCAGAAACAGGCAAGAAATATAAATCCATAATTCAGTTTGAGTCCCTTCATTATTATTATACAATAGTTTGTTAAATCTTTTGTATTGAATATAGGTATGTGAAGCAGAAATGTCATTAATATGGCCAAAGCCCGAAAAAGACACGTTGCGACCAAGCGAACAATCGTTTTACATGAATCCGTCTTGAATCCAGTTTGAGTCCCTTCATTATTATTATACAATAGTTTGTTAAATCTTTTGTATTGAATATAGGTATGTGAAGCAGAAATGTCATTAATATGGCCAAAGCCCGAAAAAGACACGTTGCGACCAAGCGAACAATCGTTTTACATGAATCCGTCTTCTTCTCACAATACCGACAATTCTTTGCATATATCTATCTTAATTCAAGCCTTTAATAAGCTAGAGCGCAGTGCTTTGTTCACTAAGAAATGTTGCTTCAACTGGAGAAGCTTATATACTTAGGTTTGGTTGAACTCAGTAGTGTAGGCCTACTTGCTTGCTGGGCGTAAAACTTTCTTTCTGAACACTGGCAGAGTCGAGCTTTATACTGTCAGAAATTAAGGCGTGTTAATATGAAGGTGCATTGCAGTGACGGCAATTACTCTTCAAGTTATTTATTCATTTTTAAAATTGCGAAACTGAAAACTTGCTGAGATGAATCACAGTATTTTAATATTCCTACAATGATAAAAATAACGGCGCTAGTCCACGAGTCTACACCGAAATTTATTTTATTTTGGACTTATGGCACAAAATAGCCCGGAGGGTTTACCGTACGTATGCTGTTAGAGAAAAACCGGATAATGTTACATCAAAAGTAGTGTAATTATAAAATGATGGGCAAATGTGGCCATAGAGCGATCGGACTGAAGTGCGTGCAATATTATAGGATTACACGATGGCCAAGTGTGGCCATAGAGCGATCGGACTGAAGTGCGTGCAATAATTAAGGTTTACACATGTTACCCAGTGACTGCTAGCGTCAGAAGAGGATAAACAATAATTACGGAGTTAATTTATAATAGTTTTGTTATATAGGGAAACGTAAGCTTATCATCAGATCGTTATGAAGAATATAAAATCTGACTATAATATCCGATTGACAAGTTCACTCTGTTATGCATCCTGGATATGAGATAGAATCGATGCGACCCGCAAGGAAAAGTCATCCGGCACGCGACCTATTAATTAGTTATTACATCAATACAGCCCGCCGTTTCTTTTAGAGTTTCATACTGTAGTGAAGCGTCCTAAATTACCACTAAAATATTGTCGTATTATTATGCTATAAAACAGGGGTGGTCAAAATAGCTCGCGATCGACTGATCGGTGATAAGGTCATACACAAAACTTAATACAGTATGCATATAACTGCACACACGCATACAAAATTCCACCGCTGCCAATAAGCGGAATCTGTCGGCGCATTCCTAAGGGAATGGCCAAAAAAATTGTTTTTTACTATGTTCCATTTAATTTGAGTATGTAATTGTACCCGGAGTAAATGTTTCATCATTTATTCAAATAATACAATTCAAATATAAGGCCTGCCTACATGTTAGTTGTAAGACCTGAAAATTCTTTATCCAAACAGCGGAAAATAAATATTCTCAAACCATAAATGTTAATCTAACTTCAGTATCTAATTTCAATTTATAGTTGAGTATATATCCAAGTCCGATTCTACGCTGGCATTGATTTAGAAAAAGATACGGTCATCTGAGTCAGTTGTCACTGCTACCGTTGCGAATAAAATATATCACACTATTCTTGGAGTGAGACAATAACTTTCGCATACTGCAGAAGGTATTGTAGGATCGTTTGTCAGCCAATACACGCGATTTTCGGCACGTTCATTCCTAAACCTTGGCAACGGCGAAACTTGCATTTTGCACGTAATAATATGCTATATCGTTTGCCAGCCAAGACACGCAATATTCGGCACGTTCATTCCTAAACCTTGGCATGGTCGAAACTTCTAATTGGTACGTAATAATATGCTATATCGAACTTGCCCAAACTCAAATAGTGTATGTGTATATTGTATTTTGCGCATGTACAGTACTGCATTCTTCTTGTTTTAAAACACACAACAGGCGCTGCATAAAACTGCGAGACAATTTTTTGGGGTATTTTATTAGATTCACTGAATATCAGCTGCGACCACGATAGACGTGTTGGCCACGCCTGCTATAAAACAATCTCTGTCGCGATAAAACTGTACTGTTACCAATTATTTTGTGACCGGAACAAAGAGATATGCGAACGAAAGCGCCACATAATTATGTAGTATCGGTAATTAGGTGCTGGCAACTTTATCTGGTGATTCCAATATTAAACGGCATTATGAGTCAAAGACTTCTAAGTTTTCTGAGTACAGGCCACGAAAAAAGATAAAATTACCCGTCTGCTTTTACGAACGGTGATAGAGACGATCAAAGCTAATACTAAAGATAAGATCAGTCAATAAATTAATTTGAAAATCTGGGTTTTGAATTAACTTTTTTAATTACTTTTTAGCCAGTTAAAAACATGTTTTGACGTTGTAGATGAGTTTATAGCCAGTTAAGATAGTGTAGCATATAGGAACATGTTGTTGAACGTTGTTGATGTAGTTTAATGTTGTAGATAGACACGGAGAACAAACGATGAAGACATGACGACACGACACCGATCCAGACGACTTGACTCCTAATACAAGACCTCTCAATACACGACTTCTTCAATCCCCCTGTCGTATCGCCATGTCTTTATCGTTTGTTCTCCGTTTATATCTACAATATTAAACTACATCAACAACTTCAACAACATGTTCCTATATGATACATGTTTTTAATTGGCTAAAATGGTGATCCCGAAAAAAGAATAGCAAACCTTCAGATGTGGAGTCGAAATCGATAAGTGTGACCCAACAAAACAACAACAGCGCATATCGAAGAAGAAAAATATCAACAACAGTGAAGATGGTACAGCAATAAAGGTATCTCCGCACGAGAGAACAAAGGTACGGAATCGGATAAGAATCAGACGACGGATAAAGTCTACACAATGAACTTCTGTTTGAATTAAAAAATACAAGGTGAAAAATTGCATCAGGCTAAATTAAACTGATGAATATGAAATTTTTCTTCATCAATTTGTTTTACTTTGTTATATATACATAAGATTTTTCTCCTAACTGGGACATTTATCGTACTACTTCCTTTCTCAATGTATAGTCCTTCTTTAACTTCTTTGGCGATATTAATTAGGTATCTCAATTTCTATGAATTGCTTGAAAACAGACTTTGAGTGTTTACTCAAATTGCAACTAATCTTATGGCCAATTGATTACGCAATGAAGGTGAATATTCGATTTCAAAATTCTTGTGATTTATAAGAATTAAACATTGACGGATGCAAACTATTTCGATTAGATAGATTTCATCAACACTGAACTATTTTGAAAAAAGATGATTCAAACGAGTCACTCTTTTAAACGTTTATAACATCGTTATAAGAACGGTGCATAAATGAGATCATCAATATATTCGTCAAAACGAGTATATGACAAATTTTTTTAACAAACAAAGCGCTATTTTTCTTTTTTTCAAAGCCCGAAGCTGGCATTATTAACATATCGCAACAATCGAATTTACAATGCGCTATTTTCACCCAACTAGGGTTATTCAAACACATGAGCTATCAGTAATTCAGTGTGACGAATTATATTGGATTGAAAGATCAGTTTTATCTGTCGAAATCAAATTTAAAAAACAATAAATCGCCTTTTCTTTTCTAATCTATACTCTTACTGTCATCCTACTTCCCTCTCATTATTAAATCTTCTCGTCCCATATTTTTGAATTTCATTATGTATATTTTTCGATTGTGTTTTTTTGTCATTTTCAATGTGTTTTTGAAATTTACGTATGTTAGGTGACAAATATGCCCAAAACCCAGATTTCCAATCTAAAGGGCGTATATATATTTAGGAATAAATTCATTATTTCAGGTAAAATTTATAAAAAGACTGAAAATTGCTTATTTCGAAATTCTCCAAATTCATAAATTAGATCGATAAAGGGCCCGTTGTAATTATACAACAGATGTCAACCAAAAATATAATTGGATCGATGACACCAGATGCTAATTAGTATTCCAACCCGAATCGATAACCCTAAAGGAATCGATATCACCATACGCGCATACGTATATAAGGTTTCAATTGGATATTTGGGGGAGGTATTAAAAGGTCTTGTACTAGGAGTCGAATCGTATTGATAAGTGTCGTCTCGTCTCTCGATGTTCTAATGCTGTATTCATCGTTTGTGCTCCGTGCCTATCTACAACGTCAAAATGTGTTTTTAATGGCTAAATATCTACAGCATTAATCTACTTCAACAACGTTCAACATGTTCTTATATGCTACACTGTCTTAATTGGCTAAAACTTTTCACCAGTGATGGGATTCAAAATTCTAAGAATGGGTTTTCTTTTTGTATGGAATTCACTAACAACTGGTTACCTCATTTCGGGAAACCGTGCTCTTATAGCTCTAAAAAACAAGATCGAACTGACAAGATTATTGCTGATAATCGCGCCACGCAAGGATCGAGCTTGCTGATAATCACGACATACCAAGATCGAGCATGCTGATAATCACGACATTGCTGTGGCAGCTTCACTCGAACCCACTGAATTATACCACTGCTTTTATCGTCTGTCGCTCTATCATTTATGGTAACATTCGCGGTTTTTGATTTGAACGCACAGTTCTACAAGAAACATAATGAAACTAAATTTCGATGTACGCCGCTTCACAAAAATTAATAATTGTATAGCCACACCTAGGACCAGAGCATGTGACCCCGTGCCGCGCTGGCCACGTTTTGATTTTGGGGCGTATCCTGAAATAAGGGGACTCGACTCCCGACTCTTGGCGCACACGCAACTCAACCGCTTCTAAAAAGATACCTCAACCAAGTTAGGTTGTTTGCTGATTTTAATACAATACGACAAAGATTTTGCACGATTGATAAAGACTTTGAAGCGGACACAAAAGGAAGCGCAGTCTCGGCACGCAACGGAGTTCTAGGACTACATCCCGATACACTACACTTGAACGAAGACTTTGCAGAAAGGCAGTTCACCAACAGGAGGGTGTCGGCCGAATATATTCACGCTGATACAAACATTGGGCGAATATATATAACAAATTCAGCCGCCTTTTTCGGTCTTATAATGATTTCCTAATAGAGTATCGAATCATTGTAGATTAGAACATATTCGTTAGGGCGTGTGAAATACTCGATAAAAATATTCGAATTTCCTCACCCCCATATAGTTATTCAGTTCGTTTGTTAATGTTTACTTAAAATGATTTGGCAAAATTATATGATACGCGAAAAGAAAATAGATTTTTAATTACGATACGTCAATAAGTTGTAAATTTGACTTTTGGCCCGCGACTAGCAAAAGGTTGCCGACCCCTGGCCTAAGGGGTCATAGAATATTATTGAAAAATTACGAAGCGGAAGAGCACGCGTGGGAAAGAGGCAGCGGAATATTTAGTTCACATAGCGTCCTCGAATGACGCAGATGCTTCTATCTAAAATTTGTTCTGTGTGAATATTATAACAAATGCCTTTCTAGAAAACTTACGAATTTGTTATATTCCTCATGATATTTGCACTCAAGAATAGCGCGTTTCCTACATTCTTTTGATCGTTACTTCGGATAGGAAAGATTAAGCTAAAAGAACAAAAAACGAATGAAACGAATAAAAGTGTAACACTATCTAGCATCAAACAAAAGGTTTTGTCCATTGAAAAGGGTCGAACGAAAGCAAGTTTAAATCAGTGAATTTCAACAACAAGTTGACGCAAATATTTAGGTATTAAATAGGCCACTAGGCAAGTATGCCGCTTTCTAATGCCAACTCGCCTTCTTTGCAGATAGACATTTATAGATGATACTCATTTAACACGCTGTACGGTGAAATGCAAATGAAGTAGAATCCATGCTATGTTCTGTGTTAACGTTGACGATTGGAAAGAGAATACCTGAAAAGTGAGATTCGTCATCGACCTATTCACATCTATAATGACACAACAATGTATATTATTTGTTTGTTCAACGAGCTTTATACTGTCCAAATACTCCTTAAAACCCGTTCCGTCACAGCACAGTGGGCATCACGTAGGAGACAAAACCCGAACTAAGAAATTTATTGATGGTGCGCCTTATGACTCGCCACGCCGCCGCGTGGTGCGTTAAAGAGTTTAAGAAATAAAATACTGTTTGGAACACAAATATTCGTTGATTGAAATGGCCATCGGTGAAAATATTCACGAATACAAATGTTCATGGGTGCAAATATGCTGTCACCATTTTTGATACAGTCTAAAAAAGTTTGAGCCTGGCTAAGTTTAACAAACTATATATACTTCCAGTCCAAATTGTAGGCTTCAAGATTTTTACAATAAAACGAATTTCTAAATTAACAATCTAATTAATCTGTTTTCCAGTTTCTAAACTTGCTAATGACCAAGTCACCAACTAAAAAAGAAAATTGTTAGCTAAATGATGCCCACACATATGACAAGAAAATAATGAAGTTCTTTTATGCATCTCTATATCTTTGTTGAATATATACAGAAAGCACTGACAACAAAATTAGAAAATAATAATACATGGATGGAATTATACCACAAAACTGCATGGAACTTGCTGGTCGACTCCCAAACCTTTTTATGCAGGTACTATATACAGTGGCATCAACTATTACGATTTCGGAGTACTTAACATGGCAGAAAAAGCAGGGCACCAAGCAGAAAACAATAGTACGAATACGCCTATTTTTACTACACAAACTGAAATTTATATAATTTGTGGCAATTAACGTGGCACATCACAAGATTTTTGGTACTAAGCTATGAATAGCCAAGAGGCTAAGGTTTAGAATGGGTGTTCATATGCTGTAATACAGTCAACCTATTTCTCACACTGGCCCAATAGTAACCACTGTGCAAAGAGAAGCATCTCAGTCATGCTAGTCTATACACGCCAGAAAAATACTAAAAGACTGTTGCTTCCTTATATAAAAATCAGAGGACAAACTCAGTTGATTATGAATTCGATGGAACAAAAAATAAAGTTACCTGTGGAAAATGGTTTATAGATGATTATAATGTACCGTATAATAATTGGAAAGTGTAAATATCTAGATTAAAAACACGAAGAAAGAAAAGCTTCGAATAATTCAAGTTGTCAGAGCTGTTTAATATGCCATGGTGATGTGAAGAATACCAGATGTTCAACAATGCAAACATAGTTACTACACGTCTCTTCTGCTAACCATGTCACATCTCCTAATGACTCGTATATTTGATGACATTAGATTAGCAACATATCAGTAAATTTTGTGGCATCACTTTCTTCTAAAATAAGACGCAATACAAAACTATGAATCTAGTAAAACTCAGTATAAATATAAGACATGAAGATGCAATGAAAGCATACAGTGTAAGTTAGTATGAGCCCATAAAATGTAAGGTATGTTACGGACGACTAGATTTTAGGAGAGAAGGCTGCAAAAAGCTGTTTTCGGTAATATATCAATGAAATAACATGGACGAAAAATGTAATATGAAAACAGAGTACACAAATGCTATAATATCATATTCACAGATGATATAACTAACCAACGAAAGAAAACAACACATTAATGTCAGAGAACTATATATTTCCAACTCATCAACAAAAAGGATTCGTTGTACTTATCAAGCAAAAATACTATGGACATACTTGAAAAATCAGTAACTGGATGCATTGCGAAAAGAATATATTTTTCACATAAACGCAGGCTTCCTAAAATAGGCTTCCTATTTAATTCATCACTGCTAGTTATACACATGAACAGGCGCTCCCGGAGTATGTGCACCAAGATGGCGCACAACCTGAACCCCAGCCTGGTACACATACTATGTTCAGGTTGTGCACATACTTCTGGAGATCCCATGAAAAAAATAGATATACCTTTCAAAAAAGGAGCAAAAATGTAAAAGCACATTGTATGTATAGTACTACATCAGTTGATTAATTACAAAGCAGCATGCATATTTTTTCTTATTTTATTTCTAGTTTTATAGGTAATACAACAGTGCAAAATGATATATTTACTGTGTATATGAGCTGTGATTGCTTTAATATCATTGCTATGAAAAAGTAAGAACAAATACAAAAATATGAATTACGATAAGTATTGGATGTATCGAATTAATGTAGCAGCAATTTGAAATGATACCGCAAAAGCCAAATTTTAAAATCTAAAAAAATTCGATTTCTTTTTAAACTGAGCTGTAAAATAGTAGCGCAAAAGAGGAGCTTAAGATCTACATATTGATTTTGTTTCATCTAAAATATTTTCTAAACTGCGTTAAGGTTTTTGGAAATGATTAAAACGTACTGCAAGGTGTAAATATGTATCGAATTCCAAACCGAAGGAAAAAAAAAATTTTCCGTTTGAACAAAAAAGTTTAAGCTGAATAAGTTTCTGGAAGGACGTAGCTGATGTCATCCCATGGATGGCGATAGAGACCTTGCTTAAGTCTTCTTTGATCAAGGTAATGGCCGATGAACCCCATTGAGCGGCCAAGTACAAAGATTCCATTGATAGCTCCGATTTCGACATATTCTGCAGATTCCTCAGGAGTGAAACATCCACAATTTCGCAACAGGTCAACAAATGCGACGCCAATAAAACCGTCAACATTGAGAATCAAGTTTGGTTTCTGTGAAAAGTTCGAAATTCAAAATTTTAACACCCTCGACTCAGATACCAATATCAATAGAAATGTGCAAAAGTCTGAAATGAAATGAAACAAAAACATTGGAATTTTTTTGGATATTGTTCTATTCAATTTTGTATGTTCGAATACAGGCAGCTTGTGCTTGATGTTGTAAAATTATTATTCACAACCTATATTGCGATGAAAATGGTTAACACAGAAAATATCATAATTTTGTGGTTGGCAATAGTAAATTTCAACTATGATTAAAGTTGGTTTAAACATGCCATTTCCGACAAAAACCACATACTCCAGGAATTTGCATGCAACTTTAACTTTATAGTGCTTTATTCAATTTTGTCCACAAATTATCAATACTGCGGTCTGCGTATAAAAATAAAGATAATCAATTAACTGCAGTGTTAAATTACATTACCTTAGCTGTAGTTACTTTTTCAACTTCTCTTGCATAATCCAGTAATGGAGTTGATGGAAAATTTGCTTTAACAAATTCTTGCAAAATGACAACTCTCTGATCTGGGTTATTGATCTGGAATAAAAATATCATATTTAGATAAATTCAAAAATTAGGTGCAGCAGACACCTCTAGTGTACAAATGAGAATATGAAATTACAAAAAAAAATTCTGTGGGAAAATATCACATCAAGTTCTGACAAAACAAGGTTTTGAGTGAAGTCACATATAGTCAATGAAAAAGATTTTGTAATCTTGATTGGTTACTTTTAGACTATCAGCAATATAAAAAAAAAAAAACTCACAGATTTGACTCTATGTCCTATTCCCATGATTAGTTTATGCTTCTTCCTCATTTCGTTAACAAATTCCATCGGTAACAAACCTCGATCATATGCTTCACTAAACTGCTTTGCTGCTCCATCAAGAGCTCCACCAAACCTATCACCCTGCAATGACAAAATCTTGGTTATTTCCAGAGCTTCGTGACAATCGAATATTAAAATAAATTCAACGAAGAACATTTAGGAACTAAAAATTCAACAAATTTGATCAAAAATAGAAAACAGTATTAGGCAAAATGGAAAATACATTACAGTGAAGGGATTATTCCAATTGCAGTCAAAATATTATACGCTAATAAATTCAACACAAAGCTACCTGGTGAATGCCATCTCTCGTGCCCCCAAAAAGACCCCCCCCCACCCAGAGAACCGCCCCGTGGCCCTCTAGAGGGCGGAGGGCCCAGGGTGAGAAACCCTGATTAAGGACTGATGAAGTGGGTGTACAAAAAATAATTTAAAACATATTAAGTTTGAAAGTGTCTGTACTTACAATTGTCAGGAGACCAGAAGTCAATGAAGATATCAAATCTTTCCCAGCTCTTGCACATACAATTGTATTATGGGCTCCTGAAATTTAAATATCTGATTTAATTTAAGACTTTTTGAAATAAATATAATAATGTAATTCATTAGAAAAGGGGGCCAATTTTGCAAGTGATCACTTAACAAGAGCTTTTACGAGAGCCGGTGGATTAATATTGACCAACTTCTCTTGGTTCATCATGACATATCAATATTGATTGACTTAAACTACCGGTATATATAAAAGAAACATCAGAAATAAATGAAGAAACGTGTCATCATATTATTACCTGATACAGCAGGACCATGATCAGCAGTTACCATCAGACAGTGTTCCAGAAACTTGCATGCATACATTGGAAGTCTTAAACAAGCAATTTAAATTTAAAAATATAAAAAAATTTAGTATAGCATTCTATGTAACATCAACTAGGATGGAATAGGATTTTTCATATTATTCATCACAGAGGGAAAAGGTGACAAGACGACTTAATAAAATGGCGAACATCGCTTCTTATCTGGCTAGGAGAGGCTGTTTTAGATGCTTGGATTTAACAATAAATAAATGGCTTTTATAAAGTACTGAGATGGATACCTTAATTACATCGAAGGACTTAGTGGACTATGCAGCACATTATGCCTCAATATATATAGTATAGTAATTTCCAGAAAAATATAAGTTCTAAGATAGTCAATTGTTAGTGTTAATAATCTGAATTGTTTATAATGTGATAAGGCCAATCAGGTTTACATCATTTTTTATATATCCTATAATCAATCACCTTTTCTGGAACCACAAGAGTCCTAAGACACCTCCAATTCCAATATCATCCTTGAAAACTCTTGATATAGGCATTCCAGCATACAATAATTCCTGTCCTCGTTCATCAGATATACTTGTCATAAATGAAGCTGGTTTACGAATCAGACCCAGTTCCTTGAATCAGTAAAACATTAGTTAGCAATTTGGATAAGCATAAGTAATGATGAAAACGATGAAATCACATTGGCTCCGGCTCCAGCTTAACAGTATATTCAAATTCAACGCCGGCTCCATGGCCATTTAAGTTTTCGGATGTGACCGCTACCATGAAATATCAGTCCGAATGCAGTTTTACAAAATGTCACCGGGTCCCCAGTCCTGGGTCGTACTTAGCAACGTTTTTTGTCTAGAGGTCCATTCATTTTCACTCTCTAAGTTCTTCACAAGTAAATTATAAAGTTAGAGCTAATTTGGTGATTGAAACTTTTATCAATATTTCTGTAAATTAATGTGGAACATACCCTGGCCCATGAGTAATCCATTGGTACAGTAGGAGGAGGAACTTCTTCTGCAGCAAGTATCACACCTCGAGATACCAGGTCATCATAAACCTCCCTAAAAACAAGACATTGATTAAGTTGAGTATTTTATTTTCATGAAATGAAAACTCATAAGGTAACTCGATTATGTGGTGACTGGTGAACCACAAGCTCTCGTCATGTTACAAGTATGAGAATAGGTAACTAGTCTCAAATCTATGCATGGTGTTGGAGAAAGCCGTAAATGGTTGATAAGATATAGTCTGCAATACAACCATTGTTGACATTCTATGAGGCGAGAGTCAAAAAGAAAAAATGGCAAATATTGAAATGTTAAAATTTTTTTTTGGAGATGTAGAGGGAAATAGGTGATGTGCTCTTTCAGCTGAACAGTTCACATTTTTCATAGCTCAATTCTTTTTCAGGTTAAATTACATAAATATTCTGGGAATTTTTATTTGAGTTTGGGTATTTACACAAAATTTGGATTTTTTTTCAGCTTTTGACCAGGGCTTAAGCATTAACTCTTAAAAATGATAAGTGTAATGTTTTCAAACAAGTCTAATGTGATGCCATAACCCCCATTTTTATACATACTTGATTTTAACATTCAATTCATTGAAGCTTTTCGGAACATGAGCTCCAGCAGTTGCTAATGCCTCATTCTTCACAACAGCAGTTTCAGATTGTTGATTAGCACAGGCACCAGCATGACCAAATTGTACTTCTGATGTGAACATTGTAGCACAAGTACCTTAGAAAATACAAAATCGCAATATTTTCAGTCAATGTAGGATACAAATCTTAGTTGTTTAGAACTAAATTAATCAGCAATCAAGAAAAATGTTCCCTTGAATTATTAGTGTTTCTGTGGTCACTCGTAACCTTACTCAAAGGTGAAAGAGGTTCATCTTTCTAAGTGAGTGAGTGGGAGTGACCTCACTTAATGCAAATTTTCTTGAAAACGTATGAAGTAGATAAGTTTGGATGGATTCCACTAAAATGTAATAATTTTCTATTGCAGTATCATTACGGTAGGACTTCAACTGTGAATTGCAATAATTACTCTTTTTTTTTATAAAGATACAATTATTTTTTCAGTTCAGCGATTACATGGGCAGACACCAGGACTGACCAATGATTGAGTCTATAACCAGAAATGCTGACATAGACAGCTAGTGAAACCTATGGAAATATTACAGTAGAAATCCCTACCAATGCACCAAGCAACAACTGGTTTACTGATCACTCGAGATTTGATTCCTTCACAGATTTTGTATTCTTCTGTGCCACCAACCTATGAAAACAAATAAAAATTCATTTCATAAGAGAGGTTCTGTGGCCAAATAGGACAATTTCCATTTTTTATACTCTAAATCAGCGATTTCTAACTGAGGGTCCGTCGTATTTTTTGAAGGATGAACAAGGGGGCCACGGCCCACGAGTCCTAAAAGGTTGGGAACCACTGCTCTAAACATTACGATATGAGATGGCAATCTATGTGATCATTCATTCTTACACGGTATTTACACAGTACTGCATAATTTATATTTGAGTATTATTTCTCAAAATCTTACCATTTCTCCAAATTTATAATGTGTAAATAACAAGTTACCATTAACAGTTAATTGAAATTTTGTTCATAACATTTCTACAAATCCTCTTAGCGTATCCAAGCGATCATTTAAATAATGAATTATTATTTTTTCCTACCTCTCCCAGCATGACCATCATTTTAATATCAGGATTTTTTTCATATCTCATGATATGATCCATAAATGTTGTGCCAGGGTATCTGAAGAAAAATGGGATTTTATTTTTATTAAGTGTTCACTTTTACCGAAGCTTTGATGTGTCTTTGCAAATCGAAGACAAGAAGTGATTTGAATATAAGATATACCGGTAATAGCATTACTGGTGATTCTTTTAGTCCAGCTTAGTTAGTGGTTAGCTCATATTTCTCTATCAAATTTATTGAAGAAGGCTTTCATAAGTCACAATTTTTCCAATTAAAATTTGATGTAACAACCCAGAAGAAGGGAGTCAGAGTCAAAACTTTTCTGAACTCAAATTCAAAGTCGAAATTTTTTCAGGCCGAAATCATGTCCCTGATTTTGACTGCAACTTTGTTACCCTTTTTCTTTCACTGAAAAATAACTGGTATACCGGTATACAAAACTTGATTATATATGGGCAAAATTGGATTTGTTGCATAACCTATATCTCTACTTCTACCAAAGTTATTCACACATATTGAGAAATGAGAATCAAATTACATACTTGTCTCCTCCTATAGCCACACCTTCATACACACCATCGGTATTACGAGATATAATATTGTTCAGTTCATTTGACATTCCACCACTTCTGGATACATACGCCACACTACCAGGTCGATATAATTTCGACGCCAGTATGTTATCCATCATTCCACCAGTGTTCCCAATCTTGAAGCAACCAGGCTTTACCCCACCAACCTAGGATAAATGCATCAAAATTACGAAACAATCAAAAAGTAACTACCGGTAAGTGATTTAAGAGTCATGTTGCACTGCATTTAAGATAAAATATGCACTCAATTCCTTTTCTTGTTGCTGTTGAATTATATTAAGTATATAAGTATGACTACGTCAGAGGAAAAGTTACAGAAATATATTTGTGTTAGTGTGCAGAAAGATTCTTGAATGATATGCATACAAACCTTCCAGCGCAAGAAAGTAGAAGTAAAATAAGTAATTGGTGCTGCAAAAAACCCAAGCGAGAGCACAAAAAAATTGTGGCAAAGTGCAGGTTTGAGGCAAAATAGAGTTAATTTCATAACACGGCAGATTCACAAATTTTTTTTCTAGAAATCCTCACCATCTAAAGTGTACAGAATTTGTCTAGGTTACTGTTATTTAACAGTAAATAAATATTCTCAAATTTAGTTATTGATAACCAACAAGCGGAAGTGGGGATATAAATATTGACAAATTTACAAAAAAGCAGCCCGAATGATAATGACTTGTGGTCAGGAAGTAGATTTGTTTTGGTATTTTAGACTTTGCTCGACAGTCACTCTAGATCTGGTTATTTAGGCTATTACTTTGAGCGAATTCTTATCAAAAACTAAACCTCCTTATTTTACAGACCACACTTTAATTCCTTTTTTTTTATTCAAAAATCGATTTTGCGTCCTATCAGCCAGTGCACCCAATGTTTTGATCAGGTAGTGCTTTCTGCTTTATTGACTACATTCAAAACGAGTTCCGGTACTATTGTTTTAAAAACAAACCGCTGTTTTATAATTCCAATAAAACACAATAACCATAAAGAGTTGTTTTTTGGTTAAAGGGCTTTGTACGGTAACCCAATACCCCTTAAAAACCACTGCGTCTTATAGTCCAGTGCACCTTGTATGTACAAAGCCGTAAGGATGGTCGTAAAATACATAATAAAATGATATGAAAAGAATGTAAAACATCATCTTACTGTTGCTGGACCAATGATCGAAACATTTTTCTCGTTTGCAAGCTTGATCAATTTTTTAGTTTTTGCTTCAGGTATACCTGTGAAGGAGTGGCAAATGTAAATTAGGGAAATTGAATGAATTTGTATGGTTTCAATAACCTGATTATATACAATCAAGAAATACTTTCATATCATACCCCCTATCCCCCTTTTAAAATGTAAAAAAGAAAATTCCCCCCTCCCCCTCCGTTTGAAAATTCCTGGCAACGCCCCTGGTATAACTATAATCAGAAATAATACGTCCCATTTTATACACTTCAAGGAACTACTGTTATACAAATTTGTCAATAAGCCATGATTAGATGGTTGTATTTTTCATCTTATCTAACATAAATATAGATATACAGATTGGATAATTTGAATTATATAGATTGAAATCTGAGCCATAATATGAATAAAGATCTTAGGAAACGATGTTAAACGTGATAACAGCCATGATATTTTGGTTAATATTTTACAATCTCCTAGGTAAGTACTGAAGATGAAAGATAAGAAGTGAATTACGTAATTGAAAGTATACATATCTGATTGTTTAGTGAGTCAGCTTATACATTTTATTTGCATAGACGCAACTTTGCCTAATGAGAAAATTATTGTTGTAAGTTAGAAACTTACTAACTAACGCATCTGTAAGTATTTTTATGATGTTTGCTCTCAAAACTATAGACACTAACTAGTAACAAGGTGGCATTGATAATAACTGTCACAATATAAAAAATATATTTGAAAAAGTAGATTATTTAGTTTTGGCCATCCTTGGGCATGACATAATATTGCTGCCAGCTTTACTTCTCAAAAATCTAACGAGACCTTGAAGACAAAGAAATAAGAAAATGTAACACAAAACAGGATATTTTTATCCATGCAAATCAGTTTTTGGTGAAGATTTTATTTATTTTTGCAAACAGAAATACGATTACTCAAAATTGCTGACCTGTCCAACCTGATGATTGGCTTAAATGGCTAATGATGATATATCAGTGCATTTCTACGATTGCAATAGTCATATTAAAATATTAATAATAATAAATTAACAATAAATTAATTAACAATAGAATAAATCTATGATTACGAACCTTCAGCTATGATTGCAATTGTTCTAATTTGTTTATATTGCATTGCTTCTATTGTGCTTTCTTCGGCCGACCGTAAAGAAGCAAAATTAACCAGCGTGTCAACCTCTGGGTGTCGTTCCATTGCATCGCTCATGTTTTTATACGCTGGAATCAGAATTTCTTTGTGTCCCCAATAAAATTTCAGTTTGTGATCCCCACTGAAATTAAACAAAAAATAGATTTTTGAATATCTACTCCTCAAATTCAGAAGATCAATGTGACAATGGGTTGTCAGAACCGCCACACCCAATTGGATCTTTCATAATAAAAAGAATTTGTCACCCTTTTTCAGTTGAAATCTTGTTTCAATTTGCTTATTGGTTAAAGCATTAGATTCAAATGTGTTGTCATTTCAGATAACACAGTTCAGACTCAAATACCATGTCCCACACGTTGTACAAAAAATGTACTTCCGTAAATATCGATATACAAAACATGTATACTGATTTTATCATCGATCATTTTAATAAATAAACTATTAGTAAAGAAACATACATGAATGGATAGACCATTGCAGCAACAGATGGTTCTTTCCTTGAACAAACAAAATCAAAATCCAACATTCCTTGAACAGCTCTGGATTGCAAACCCCAAATGATAGAACGAGTTTTGGCTAAAAGTAAAAATATTCAAATGGTAAAATACCATTATATTCTATTAATAGAGATTTTGGACCTCCCGAAGTATGCGCACCAAGATGGCGCACAACCTCAACTCAGATTGTGTACCAGGTTAGGGTTCAGGTTATGCGACATCTTGGTGCGCATACTTCAGGAGTACCGAGATTTTACTATGATGGCACCGCAGGCTAAAAGCCATGACTACATTTAGAATATATTCTATATTCACAATCAAAAATATAATTTCAGAGTGTAGGAGAAATAGTAAACACATTTGGGATACCTAGAATACTGGTATCTAATCAAAAACATACTTGAGAACATAGGTTTTCCAAGAGCAGATTTTTTAGCTGCCTGTCTGATTACAGATGTTACACCATCGCCGTTTTCCTTTGGTACATGATCGGCATCAGCAAACGAACTTGTGCGACTACAACGTGGTGTTCCATTCTGAAGGAGAAAGTAATTAAATTAATTAATACAATATTCTGCATAAACATCAACAAAATTTGCATTTATCTAAAATACCATTGAAAGAGGGAGAAGCCGATAAGACAGCTGATGATATGGTCATGGTGTACCATGATCTCTAGTCAATTGCTAACACATATCGGGCCTATAATATTATGTATGATGAAGTAAACCACATTTTCCAGTCGGGAATGAATTCCTCCTCAGGTAGAAAAAATTTGTTATTTCGAATTACGATGGAGGGAATACAGCCATATTACTTCATATTCGGTGCAGTTGTACTATGTAGCCAACTAATATTGTTTAGTAATTAATACATATTTAAACACATTATGAGAATTATATGACAGTCGAGTATGTCACTAAATAAGGATCCTTCAGAAAAAAAATGAAAAATTACTTTTTATACATAGTAGGGAAAGAATAAAGACATGAAAAATAGGCAAAGGGAAGGATGAATGTATCGAAGGAGGTTGGGAACCAGTTAGTAAACTACCATAACTAATAAATAAAATCACCATGGCGATAAATTAATGAACTGCTGATTCAAATGTCACAATCATAAAGCAGTGTCAATCGTTGTATTAGGTCAACAAACATATCTCTAGATTATTAACAGATCAATGAAAACACAAATAAAACAATAATATAGTACTATTCCGAATTTAAACGAGTTTACATGTGTGCCAATTGCCAAATCTCAAATGCTGTACATAATTAAGAAGAAAAATGTATCAAACATCAGTTGCAAATTTGACTTATCAATTAGTAAGATTATAATGGTGTCAAGATTTTGGGATTCAACGACCTGAAGAAATCATTCAGAAATAGAGCAGGATTTATAACCAGTACAAGCTTGTTTTTAATTTAAATTAAAGCAAAGGAATGGGGTATGGACAAAACGGATTGCATGGGGGCCAGTCTGGGTTAAGAAAAGGATGTAGGTGGAAATTTAAGATTTTGTCATAGGAAATTAATTCGTCTTTACTATTTTTACTGCTCTTTGACAAAGTCTGAAATCACAATCAAAATAATTTTGCGTCACTTAACAAAACTTTGAGTTTAAGTTCACATATTATATTATCAACAATGGATAAATATAATGATTTACTTCTGTAATAAGTGCCGAGTCTATGAAAAAAGGGACCCACTGTGACTGGATAGGTTGCACTAAGTAAGGTTGGATGATCATAAAATGGATTTTTTTGATTACTAAACACATACAATAACTAATTGTAATTGAATTTTTCATTCATTTACGAGTGCAGTCATACCTGTATTAGGATTGATTTCGTGAAAAATTAGTCAGATAATAATATCATTTTCAATTTATATTTTCTCATTCAAAATAATATTGTTCAATTTATTCATAAATTATTTAAAGCGAATTATCAAAAAGTTATGGAGACTCATTATTTAAACAATGCTCAAATCAAGTATAAAACGATGGAAAATTATTAAGTCTTGGATTTATCATTATCCCAAACATGTTCTAGTCTGAAACAAACCACACAACTACGAAAACTAAATACCTGAGGTGAATCGGCCTTGAAAAAAAATAATATAAAAATTTTATTTTTGTGATTTGCGCTTTTAAAACCTTGGTAATGTACGGGTCCTAATTTTTAATTCAAAAACTCTGATCTCGGTGAATTATTTACACTTCAGGAAGTTGATATTGTCTGTGAGGGGTGACAATGGTCATGTGAGGAAAATGCAACCTTAGAAATCCGGTCAAAAATTCCTTTAAAAAATTTTATGTATAAATAAAGAAACATGAGGTGGAAATCTTATGATCAAATTAGAGAAATCAAGATTTCTTTAATATGGGCAGTGTAGCATAAAAACACAACCTTTTGATATAAAAATATATGAATCCTCTTTTGAATTTGGAGAATGCTGATTTTAGCTAAAAATGGATTCCCTCATATTACTGTCATAAAGTCAAATTGCAAAATTTCTGTGTTCATTAAAACACTATTACTTTCATTTCAGGGTAATAAATTGAAAATATTTCAGTATCGCCTCAACCCAGCAGTCTTGAACATCAAAATGACTGGCTGATGCTATAGAGCTTTGTGCATATACAAATATTTATTAAAGACCATTTACTACAACAATAACACATACATTGTACTGAGTGGTGGCTCCGAGAAGAAAATTTGCTGTATGTCCTGGATCTGTTGGAGGTTTGTCTGGTATGGGTGAAGTACCCAATGCCATACCAACAATAGCAGTCATGTGCGTTTCTGTTCCGAAAACGTGGACCGGTACACCGAGACTCTGACCTGAATATAAGATATAAAGGTTTCACTTTGGTATGTGATGCGAGTTTGGCGCTCCAGAGTATGTGTACCAATATGGAGGTGACTAGTTTTGTTCGCCTATCTTACATCAAGTTGTGTAAAGGGACTGAAACCTATGGGCAGGGGGTATATTCAGTTAGCTAACACAGAAAGTCCCCGAACTCGTAATAGAACTAAAATAAGGAAAATCGGAATAAAATTAGGGCCTAACTCTAACCTGGTACATATACTACACGAGAGTACCGCGAGTATTGTGTTGTGATTTCAAGGATTTCGGTATAAACCCAACTCTAACCTAATGATAGGGTTAGAAACTGAATTCTGTGAGAATGTTTTTATGAGATTACCCACATACCAAGGTGGCACCTTGATTGGTGGGTGCTGCGATTGAGATCACACATTAAGCATGGGTGACCACATTCCAAAGTAGTTTTACGATACTGAGATCGCATGCCCCAAGTGGCATCAATATAAATTCAATTTCAAGCTTTTGATATAACTAGGCTTTACACAAGCAGACTCCACACAGTGTGAAGCAGAAATCAAAAATGTTCGACAATTTAAATGTATGAAATATAACAAGTGGATGCTACACTTCACACATATGCCACTAGTCCATGTCATTGCTGTAGATATAGCACGCAAGTTGTTCTTGTAAGAAATTTTTAAAACGTATTAGCCATAACAAACAAGTATATGTTATGACAATGATCACTCAGAAATATTACAAAATAATTATCTGACATTTTTACAATGGTTAGAACATAATAAAGCAGTAAACAGCACCTAACACTTAGATAACAAATAACAATGTAATATTTTATCCATTATACAGTATTTAAAATTTTTTTTAACAAAGTGTTTGGAAAACTCGTCATCTCAAAATAATAAAAATAATACAGCAAAATTACTGGAACAACAATATCACATACCAACTTCACGCATTACTCTTAATCCTTCTTGATAATTAGGACCACCTCTTCGTACAAATATAGAAACTTTTGTCTGACGAAGTTGGGTCTGATATTCTTTGAGAGCACGAACAATTCCCTTTTAAAAAATAAAAACTGAGTTGATTTAAAATTATATTTTTTGCGATTAGTTCATCCAAAAGAAAATTGGTTTTTACACGTTGTTTCTCAACTTCTAGACTTTAATACGCTATCTTACTTCCTGACCTCAGGACAGGGGTCGTAAAAATGTGAGCAATAGTTTTTTAAGTCAATTGCACACCTCCCAGTCGATGACACAATAAAAGGATGTTTGCTTTGGCTAGATTTCTCCTAGGCAAAACCCGATTTGTCTATTTTCTGAAGCAAATTTTAGCCGCACAAGCTGGTAAAAAACATATTTTTTCATTTTTTTAGAAAACTTTTTAACGTATTCCCATTTTGTATATTCGATTCATTTTAGATGTCCATACGTGACAGAGTCATCTTTATCTTTACCTTGAATGTTGCAGCAACATTTGTGAAGTTCGCGATCCCTCCACCAATGATAAGAACTTTTCCATCTTCCCTTTGTTCTCTTGTCATCAACGATAAAACAGTTCTTGCGTAATCATAAGTTTGTTGTTCACTTGGTGCACCACTGTATTCACCATAATTTGCAAGTTCTGACGCGCCCCCAAGGTCGCAAATCGTATCACTGTATAAATGGTACAATTATATTCTATGTGAGAATAGAAAAAATGCTGAAGAATGGAGTTAATTTAGACTACTGAATTTAACACACAGTTGTTTACCAACAGGATAAGATGTGTACTACCTCATATGCATGAATTAAGATATGATATACAAATTCTATAAATATCGAAATAAAGCTTAATTTAAATTACCATAATTTATGAAAAATATACCTATAAACCACTGATGCACCTCCACCAGCTACCATCGTCCAAATTCTTCCTTTTGGATTCAAGATTGTCAATTTGAGTGAAGCTCCACTCTTTGCATCAAGATCTGCAATGTAGGCTTCCTCTGGGTATGCTTCTCTCCCAAATGGAGGTGGAAATTCTATCGTACCCCATTCTCGAGAGCAGAGGAATTCAGCACACTAAATATGATGTATTATTAACCTTTTTACACACTAGACAATAGATCTCAAGACTTTAAAATATAGTCACTTCATAACTAGGCACTCTGACTCAGATTGTCTAAATTAGGAATGAATGTGATCTCCGAAAATTGCCATAGTCCATGTTATTGCTCACAACATGTGTGACATATAATTGAATAAAACAAAAGGACCAAAGAATAATCAGGTTCCAAACTTGCAATGTTTAACCTACAAATGACAGACAATTATGAAATGATTCTAAGTTTGTGAGAAGATATTGAGAGAAAAAATTCAGTAAAATAATAAAAAAACATCAAGAAATTATATTTACCTGGTCTAATTTAGCAGCCATGTCAATGACGTAGATATCTGTGCCACACATAACTGTAAACAGAAATGATACAATGATCTATTATTAAACGATTGAAATTACAAATGAACTTTGGGAACGAGTTCACCGATTCAATAATTTGAATGAACAAAAACACATCATATACAAAAGTTTACCTAGTGGGTTTATCTCCAAATATGTAAAATGAAGATATCTGTACATGTTGAAAAGATCTTTGATGAAAGTCCCAAGTGTTCTGGACAGATGATAAAAAGGCAGGTTAATGAAGAGAATGAAACATTTGCAAAAAGAGTAGAAAGTGTATAGGCGTTTAGACAACAAACATTGTGACAAAAAAAAATGCTATTTTCAATTAAGATCACAATACTTACTCATGAGCATTTTTCGAAACTTCTCCGAGTAGATTCTCACAAATGTTTGATACAGTAACGTCCTCCTCAACATCAATCTGTGAAAATATATGAAAATATGACAAGATTTTATGATAAAAACTGTATTCAATGTACCAAAACTACATGCAAATTCACAAGGAAAAAATGTACAAAAATTCAAACATAATGTACAAACTTAACCCTGTACCCATTTTGTTACTATTAAGTATTCAAACTAACAGTTTTCAGGAGGCATTTGGTACTTTTAGTTAGAAAAAGGGCCTATATAAGCGGCCACTTGAAAATAGTCACCAGAAAGACATTTGAATCGCCATATCTTTTTTATTCAATTAATCAATTTTAAAACAAAAAACTAATGTGATTGTGTTGCATTTTTGTATTGTCAAGTTTCGACCAGAAACCTCAATCTATTGCCAAGTCAAACACTAGTTTCACACGCTCGAGAATATATTGACCAGCATAAAAAATTTGAAATTCGGTATTTCAGAGTATTTTCATACCTCTATTTTCTTTGCTTTTGAATCAACATCACCAATATCAACACCACCTTCATGATAGAATAGGATCGCATCACCTGTTCTTGTACCATAGATACAAACATAATATTCTTCTTCCTGTGAATGTAAAACAGGAAAATGAGTAATATCTATTGAAATGAAAATCAAAACACATCTCGTGCTTGTAAACTATAAACACGAATGAAATCAAAATACTTTTAGGCCGCAAGAGAACATACTACAGTGCACTGTCCAATTTCAAAAAATGATTCCTCAAAGCAATATAAAAGCATTGATAAATAGTATGGCAAACTCTCAGTGCCAAAATGGAAATTTACGAATCTCCATCTGAAGATCTTCAAATTAGTACAGTCCTAATTAGAATTGATTTATTGGTTTTCGGACAAAACATTTTATATTCGAACAAGTTTAAAAATCCAATTTTATGATTTCAGTTTATTGATGTATTTATGCTTTCAAGGCCAAATCAATTCAAACATTTTGACAAGAGGTGTTGTTTTGCCAAGATAAAATCAATAAATCTTCTGCTTTAATTAATGAAATCTAGAAAAAAAAAATGTTTGACAGCAAAATCAATACCATGGTTCTTGTGTTGATGATATGATACATTTTAGATATTATATATTGATAAAACTTTGGAAGTTACCGTATGAATTTCAACACAGACTTGGAAATCAATCACAATAAAAGAGCCCATTCGCAAAAAATCTAATTAAAATTACGACTATCTCAGTTTTACATGACCTAGAGACTTCCCAAGCTCTTTATTATTGACAAATTCAAATATTTCATGGGGTATTTCACATTTTTCCTCAAATGAAGCTCTGAGTAAGTAGATCAATAAATGGCAATATATTGTGTTTCGAAATGTATTTTTGTGAGGTAACGATTAAACCATTTTTCTATCATATTTATGCAAGTTTTAAGCAGTAAATCATGTTTGAATAAATAAATTAGTCCAATTAGTTGTCATGACGACCTCATAAATTTATGTTTGACTAATAATAAAAATAATGTTCTTTAATTCACAGTGACTCATTTTGCATACTTATATAAGAAGCAATGAATTATATCCGGCATGAAAAAAGAAGAGAAAAACTGATGAGCAAATTTGTATCATAATTCTAGACTTGAATGATTTCGGAAGAAGATTTTTGCTTTGTAGATTCATATTCACCATTCTTCAATACATCAGAAAGCACACTGAGAAGATAAAGATTTAAATAGCAGTGTCTTTTTAATCTATAAGTCTTCTTTGCTACATAATTTGATTTATTTGTTTACCTGTTTGTGAGGAACAAAAGGCTCAATGATGAAATTTTTCAGAATTCCTTTTGTTGATCCGACAACTATTTCCTTTTGAGCTCTTTCTTTGACCCATCCTTTCACACCTTCGACGTCTGTGTTCAGCTTTATCAAACCAAGTTTTCCTCTTCGTTTTATCAGCTGATCAGGCTTCACAATTAGTTTCTGCAAATTTTTAAAGAAATCGATGAAATTAAACTTGATTTTCAAGATTTTTTTTAGCAAAAAAACACGATTTTGGTCAGATGACGGCCAACGCACGTCGCAATTGATTTAAATTATTACTGAAACAAGCATGGCATGTTGTGCCGCATCTGCCGTTGTGCCAGATGCCCGTATTTCAGAGACAAATGGTGAGTTTGTTTTATTGTACCAAATGTCGGTACATCTTGGAATCAGAGAACTGCATTAAAGTGCTATTTTTAAATTATATAAAAAGTTTATTTTTATATTGCTTAGGACAGTATGATAGTGAAAAATGCACCATCAAGATTTGGTACCATTTTGGTTAAGCTCTGAATATTTCTCAAAACTGTCAAATATAAAAGTCAGAAAGTAGAATAAAGTCACACAACTGAGGAATTATAAATTGTTACCTCAGAATTCATCCATGTATTTGATGCTACAGTTGCATTCCAATCACTGTATCCACTGACAGTTGCAAATTTGAATCGATTTTTGAGATTGGACGAATCTTTCAGATGTTTTGATAAAAGAAGTTTTCCATCAGCTTCAGAAATTGCTTTGGCTGACATGACTATGTTAGTTGTATTTCAGGAGTTTATTTGAAAATCTATTAATAATGTGACTGTAGTATAACTACATAGACCAGTAGAGTACAAGACTTTCTATTAATACTGTAATAACACTGCATTACTATAATGCAGTAATACCTGAATACACTAGTATAAGTCCATCACTACTACACTGCAGAGTCTAGATTACATGTCAATTTATTTTTATATATTTTTAAAGTTATAATTGATAAATATAAACCATGTAACCCCATATTTTTATAACTAATATAGTTCGTTTGTAAGCTTCTGGACAGTCAGTAGAACCTTCAATTTTGCAAAATTTCTGCCAGAAAGTATTATTACTGTATTAGTGTATGATTGGGGAACTAGCATTTTTGAATACCTAAAGTTCATAATGAATATCAAAAAGTCAGTCAATGCGCAACTCAGGACCTAAATCACAACCGCACTTTAACAAATACTACAGCGCAGACCAATGCCGCTCGGCAGCGAATCGCGACTGATCCGGCCGGCTCTGCAACAACTTATCTTAAATAGTAATCGGCTGTTTTTCTCTCCACATCCGCCCACGACATGCCCCGTTGTCGACGTTGCATCGATACGTTAAAGCGGAAAATATAAAATGACATCTCGACGAAGGTATGTATTTATTGCAACATTATGATGTCGAAAATTCATCGCTCTTATTCGTACGTATTTTGACGTTCCAATTTAGCGTTTGTTTACGTTTATGTCCAGTGATGAGCTGGAAAAATCGTAACAACCAGATAGCAACTAATTCGTGAAAATGTATTATATTTACAACACGTCCAGTGGTCAACCGACGCTCTACCCGAGTTTTGTTTTTCTCTAAAAATGGCAGGTTTTCATAAAGCTGGTCGTCATGTACTAATTGAAATTTATCCAGCAAAGCAGACACATTTTTTTTCACTCAGACAGATTTGTTTGATTAATTTTAAATAAAATGGTGTTTTTTGCAGCGTTTGGCCTGTCGGCACATGCTATTTTGAAAATCCTTTTCAAAATAGGCATTGAAACATTATAATGATAAGGTATGGACGTTTCCCCGAACTTTGGCTCCTGAAAATTTGTCGTCATCCTTTACTTTTCAACACAAAAAATGTATACCTATCTCACCAATCCTTCTAACTTCGACCCTGGCTTTTTAGTATTTTATGTTTGACTTTTTCTCGAAATGATTTAATGTTAGACTCACTCCCTCATCGGTGACCCTGCTCGATAATCATCACTAGTTTATCGTGTCTTCTTTCACACTGAAACGTATTTCTTCGTTTTTTTATCGTAATTATGTTTGTCTACTGTGTACTTTCGGCATGTGATAGAATAAACTACTGACTGGCCCGTTTGTCATATTTCTCTAAATCAGGGGTCGGCAACCTTTTGTCTCTCGCGGGCCAAAATTAAGGGTTGCAAGTCATTGGCGGCCGCACATATTTTTAGAAAGTTGGAGACCGAACGGATGATACTTTTTATAATAAAAATCAAGCAGTGATACATCTCTCGAATAGAATATAGATTTATTTCCGCATTGCATTGCATCTCAAAAAATTCCATTTGAATATTTTCGGCACTATGAACCCTTTGCGCTTAGCATTAACTTTTCTGCGTTTTGTTTAACTATAATTAATTATAGGCTCATTTTAAACAAGTAATTGTGAATTTTATACTTGTTAGATTATAATATAATTTAGACTACACGTGTATCACAATAAATCCTGTTTTTGTCTTGTCAACATGCAACTGTAAGCTAATCTTGCCTTCATTCACCTCAGAAACGGAAGTATCGTATCCGCAAGTAATGCACTCCGCTTCTCTATTAGTTTTCATAGTCACCCTTTGAGTTTTATCTTTTCTGAGGCATGGATACTTCTGCTTTAATTCTTGTGTAAAATGGGTTTTTACTGGGTCTGCTGACGAATTTTTTTGCCAAAATTAGAAAGATGATATAATACCTCAAAAATGTTGGTAGCTCGAGTCATTCGTGTCCAAAACTTCAAACTGCATCCGAATGAGGATTGAAACGTTATTTTTTCACGGATTTTTGCCGAAATTGACATAGCCTACATTATGAAATAGCGCAATTTTGATACGAGTTCAATGAAATGTACTGAATTCAAGATGTAACGGTCATTGACATGTCCAGTAAAACATATATCTGCGCGAAGCTACACCCGGCTGAGCCATTTCACGAGTTGTTTAAACGTGTAAGATTGTATATCTTCGAGGGACTATCGCAATTTTAATATTTTTTCTTAATTAGGAAGCTGGGTAATAGAAAGATTTTATTATATATAACTATTGTAGAGAACCTTCGGCAAACCTCTGGAACAGCTCCTCCAAGTTTCTACTCACTTTGGAATTTTTTTTAACACATCAAAAACTGTTGAGTATATCATGAGAGAATTTTGAATATTTAATCCCGTGAAAAAGGAGGACATTTTGACTTTTTAGGGCGTCCTCGGAGGACACAAAATTTTCAACGAAAAAGGAGAACAAATCCTCCAAAAGGAGGACGTATGGTCACCCTAATCACAAGGAAGACACAGACGAAGTTACACTCAACATATAAGAGGACTTTACGAGAACAGAAAAGGCGTAAGGATACTGTCATTTGTCCCAACAGACAGCCCTATCACAAGCTGTCATGAAGAATTTCTATTGGCTACCGGAGGACAAATCAATTCAGCGGACATCCACATAAAAGTTTGGCTCCCAAGCAAAGCCCCGTTTAAATATGAATTAGAGGTATAAATACCCCACAAGATGTCTGACCCAACCAGTGCCTAAATTTTGATGTTCTCAATAAACTAAAGCTGAACAATGCAGATTTTTGTTTATATTGAGATGGGTTGAAAAAAATGATAATTTTTTCAAATAAAGTAGAATTTGGCATTCCCGATTACCTGAACACACATTAATGAACTAGATTCCTATATGCATGTTATTATAAAAATACAAACAGGATTTATAATAGAACTTTTCCTATAATAAAGGATTAGAAATATCTTTATTAGAAGTAACATGTAAACAATATGAAAACTAAATATTAAGCGTCATTGACATCTTTTGTTAAATCAACTCGGACCATAGTTCTAATTCCCCTGATTCCTCGAAGTCCAGCCATAAAAACCTGCGGTTTTGGAACATTGCTTGAACTTTCTTTCTTGGTTTGTGCACCTTGTTCTTTTGGCAAATATACTTGACTCACGTTGTCTCTACGGAGATTACTGAGATTTGTCTGTACTGTTTTTGTAAGCTTAGTACGCAGGTTTGCAAGTTTGATTGCTTTTCTTCTCAATTCCCACTCGTTCCACTCATAATCTTTAACTATGTTGTGTTCGAGTATGTGAGTGTCTGTTTGAGTTCCAGAATCGGATTTTGTGACAGGTTTTTCAAACATTTTTCCACCCTCTCCTGCTTGCGGATAAGGAGTAATACTGGCAAACTGCTGATGCAATTCCAAAAGCTGGATCAATTCCGGTGAAGCCTTTGCAGCTTCTGCAACTCCATTAATAAAAGTTGGAGGATTTTTAGCAAATTCAACAGCAGCTGCATTAGAACTAAAGACATAGAGTTTGTCTTGATATTGTAAAATGCCAATATCTGGATTCCCTGGTAGTAAAAGTCGATCATTCCTCACTATTGAAAATCCACAGTATCCTCGATATTGTAGCAAGAGCTGGTTGTAATTTTTTGTTGTCTCTGGAAACAACCACTGGACTTTAGGATCATCTTCAAAGTCCTCAGGATTAACTCTTTGTCCAGTAGTTTCTTGAATTCTCTGTTCATCTGATTTGATTGCGACATTTTGGAGATGTGGACTTAATACATCATCTGGGAAAAGTTCACGCTGAGTCCGAGTGAAAGGCTCAATACTAGCAAGGATGTTGCTAAGCACACTTAGAAGAACCATCTCATCCTGGAAGCATGTCCACAAATGCGATAAGCTTATAAATTGTGGGTAGACCTGGGCTGTTGGTACAGCTGTTTTAGATTGAACAGTTTGTTGTAACTGGTCCATTCTTGTGCTTAGTTGATTCACCAGCATTTCAACTTGCTGTGCACAACCAATCACATCGTTCAGAAGTATTCGAAGAAACGTCTCATGTTGCCGGACGTTTATTAGAGCATCTTTTAATAGCTGAGAGGGGATTTCGCTTAATCCCCCTGAAGAGTCGCTTTGAAATTTTTCGATCAATGTTGTGTATCGAAACGATGAATGCTGGCTGTTTTGTATTTCCGCATCTAGATTTTGTGTCGTAGCAGGAATCGCCTCATTCAGGATACCAGGAAGATCGTCAATTCCTTCACCACCTTTTCCACATTCTTTGTTAAAAAGTCGTATTCCAGATACAATGAGAGTTAATTCATGAAGCTGTCTTTCCTTATCTCTTTTAGTCAATGACATAAAAGTACCCAGCTCCGTTTGCGGAAATACACTCTGAAGAGCAGCGGTCGCTTCACGTACAACAGCAATATCAGTGGGTGATCCCAGTCCTGATCGCAAAAGCACATAAGAAACAATCTTTCGATACAGACTTTCCAATTCTTCTCGTGTTCTCGCTCGACTGTCAGTAATTTCTCTTGTGACTGGAGCAAGTCTCGCTTCAAGTACTCTTCTGTGTTCATCTAAAAATTCTTGCCTTGTAGTGTAATTCATGTCAAAATAAACTTGCATTTTAATTGTGTCGAGACTCGGGGATCGTAAATCGACAAGCCGGTCAACACAAAGTTTGATAAGTTTTTGTACATCTTCTTTTGTTAAAGTTCGATCAACATTGAACTGATTGTGAGGATCAAGAACAACAGCTTTCACCATGAATGCGACGAGAGTCTCAGATAGACTGTGGCCTTTGCTGGCACATTCCTGCACAATTTCTCGTATTATATTCTTTATCACACTTTCAGCTTGTGCTCGAGACATCTTGAATTGGATCTAATTAAATCTATGTTTTGCAAGTTATGTTATCTGTAAAATGAGGGTATGTCAGTATGTAACAATATCAAATTCATTTTATTGAAATAAAATGCTTTAATGAAAAACCAAGCAACTGAAACATTAAAGTCCCCAAAAGTGTCAAAAATAATAAAAGACTGAAAGATGAATTGGTGCCGGTGCCAGCCTTTGTTTGTTTCACTGTCTTTTTTTACCAACTGTTGACTGAAAGCAAAGATTTAAAATGGCAATATAACTTAACGGCTATTTATTACATGATCTATATTACCTAAGTTCAAGTCACGTCGTAGAGACCTCGTCTTTCTGTCTTTAGACTGAAATGTAAGAAAACGAGCGGGCATGGACATTTAAGCAGAGTGTCTTTCAAGTTTCTTCATCGTCACTATGGAAACCGCGAGTTTGTTCGCTCGATAGCGACAACTCGCGGTTATCCACACCGTATTTTCACCGTGGTCATGGTATTTTTGCGATACTGCTTAAAATACGGCTCAAAAAATTCGCTGCATAATTTTTTTTGTTTCTCTACGCTTTATACAGATTGTATGAAGACTGTGGAGTCGGGAACAAGCATTCGACTCCGTGTATGAGTCGTATAAATTTGCAAATTGCTCACAACTCCGACTCGTCTGTAAAAATTTTTACCTTAGAAATATCCCAATAAAAGTCTGAAATCGGATTATGACTCCGGGAATTCTAAATTACAATCCGACTAGACTAGGCAGAGTTTGCAATACATACAGAATAGGATTTTACATATTCATTAGAAAAAAGCCGATAAGACGGCTTATCACACGGCGAGCCACGGCCTCTCGTCCGGTCACCAGTCCAATGTCGGGTATGGGGTTAGTTAGCCAGTTATTTGTTTTCGGGAGTATGGACTTGATGGGGGACGCCGTAATCACCCTACCCTACAGTACACCCATATACGACCCCGACTATGACTCAAATAGGAACAAGAGAGCTATGCTCAAATATATGGACACGAGAGTGAGATTTATTGCCACAAAAACAAAATCAACACTAATATAAACAATAATAGATAATAATACAATGAAGAAAATATTTCATCAGTAATAAACAGCGATTGATTATTGTTTTGTGCGGGTGGGTGTGCAGGACCGATTAAGGTCATCTAGGCTCCCGACTCTTGTGTAAATGGCTAAATGCTGTATATAAGGTTATCATGGCATAACATGGTACCATGGGTAAATGCAAATGTGATTAAATAAAATATATATAAGATAAAGACACGTAGCGCCACCCAATGGCAATAATTTTGATGACATCATAGCAACAACAAAAAAAAGTAAAAGAAAAGCGATTTCTTCAAAACGTGTTGACGGAGACAAATAATAAAAATAACAACAAAATTTTGAAACGATCGTTATGTCCACTACGTGTCCAATAAGCTGAACTCTAAACTTTTGGCGTACGGCCCTGGACTGAATAGAATATATTAATTTACCCAAGCATTCAAGTGATACAATAACGTGTCGCAATTAAATCGAGTTTTGAAGTCAGCAGACGGAGACAGTGAACCGAACCAATCATACACCACGATGCTCCATTTTGTCGAGTCAGAATCAGAATATTTTGCTTGAATTCTTACCTTAAATATAGTATTTTTAATCAACATTCCAGACTGGGTCAGTTACTCTTTGTTTTTATGTAAACTACTGTAATGACATTGCGGGAAATTCGAAATCACTTCCATTGCCGCATGGCGTCGCTCAAACATAATGATTTAATTCTCCGGGGAAATCCCTTTCTTTGCAAGCTATTGACTGGTGCGGTGATAGTTTTCCCTCCATCTGCATTGTTACAACGTATTTAAAATTTCGCGAAGGCGTTGTGCTCTTTAGTAGTTCATTAGTCGCAATTGCAAACTATATTAGACATTATGGCTTGTAGTGAGAGTGATTTTGTGTTTCTTATTTTAACCCACATGGAAGATGACGGTTGCACATTTTGGGCGCAGCAACATTCGCCAACGATCAAATTGGATTTGGAACACATGACAAGTCGCATGGAAAAAATCGCATCATCCAATCCCTGTATGATTGATGATCCGATAAAGGGTAGGGTGTATGGATGCAAGTTCATTGACGACTCTTGGTACAGATGCAAGCTTTTGTTTTCAATTTCAAAAACCAAATACCTCGTGCAGTACATAGATTATGGAAATTGTGAGGAAACAATACAAGGAAGTTTGTTGAACGTTCCAATTGATCTTCAGGAATCTAGTATGCCTGCAATGGCTCACAGATTCCGTCTTCACGACATCTTCGTAGATCATGACAAAGTTGAAATGGTCCAAAAATGTGTCGAAAGTATGTGCAATGATTGTTTTGTTAAAGCTCATTTGAAAACAGCACTGGAAAGTCCACCGACTGAAGTCGTTCTATATAATGATGAAGGACGAAGCATTTGCGATCTCCTACTCAAAACAGGCTTGGCAAAATCATCTTCTCTTGTGGAAGCAAAAGCGAATGTTATAATGTCTCCACCACTTGTTTCCAAGGCCCAAAAATATCGCAATCCTCTTTTGATATCGTCTTCTGACGACAGTGGTGACGACTATAACAACAATATATTCCGCAAATATTCTCCCACTAAAGTAAAATTTACAAGTCAAAGTAGTGGATTTGATAGCATGACAGAAGGGGAATTTGATTCATTTTCGAAAGGTGATGGTGGAAGAAAAAAAAAGATGAATACCAAAGTGCAATGTGAGTTTTGCCAAGAGAATAAGGATGAACTGCAGAGGATGAGGCTTTCAATGCTAAAAATGCAGCAAGAACTAGCGGATAATGGGCATAAAATTTCCGAGCTTGAAGAAAAAGAAGCAATTTGGAAGAAAAAGTACTCAGAAATTGAGGGAAAGCAGATAGGAAAGGAAACACAAACCGAAGAAAAACAAAATCATGTTTCTGAAGAACAAAAGAAATTGGAAGATCTAGAAATTCCTGACCAGAAATCAGATATTGCTTCACCTTCGGAACAAGTTGTGACATCTTGTTCAAGTGATGAAGTTGATAATTCCGCTGTTATTAACCCAACAAAAGTTTCACCAATGAAGAAATCAGCCAATGAGTTTGTCATGGATGCAAATACCATCATGAAAAAAGTGATTCTGCCGACTTTTGATTTTACAAAAAAGCTTTCTTCATCTTGTAAAATTATTGATGATTGTCGCAAGTATTATGAAAATTTGAGAGAAATAGTAGCGAATATTAAACTTCAAATTGATAACAAGGTAAATCAAAATTCTGACGGCTTTTTGTCTTTGGTGGCAATGAGGAACACAGTTTTGCTAGATTTACAACAAACCATCCGTTCTACTTTGCCTCTGATTTCTCTTCCGGAGGATGAGCTGCTAAAAGAAAGAGTACATATTTTTATGGTTCCTTTGAAAAAACTAGTTGAGGATTGCGAAATGGAGAATTTGGATGGAGATATTGGAGTTTCCGACGTCAATGACGCTATTCAAGAATGGAAATTAAACAAAGAAAATTTCAGCGATATTTCAAATATAGTTCGCACTCTCATGACATGCCTTTCTAATCAAAGCAAAAAGATTTTTACAGCGGGAGAGTTTCTCGCTAAAGTTAGACCGATACAGGATAGTATTGCTTCCTTACAAGCTCAAGAAAAAATTATCAAAGATGTGGTTGATGAGATGAAAAGTATAAAAAAGAAAAAACAGAAGATTCGACTTCATATCGCCACTTTAAAAAATTTGGAAGAGGATGAAAACGATGCTTCTCCTCCTGAAAAAGAAGCTTTGAATTTGGAGAAAAATCAAATTGAAAACGAATTATCTCTTCTCAGAGAAGAAATTCACGAATGCTTTGAAAACAAGTGGATTCTTATGGAGAGTTTAGCCGATATGGTTGAAAATTTTAGTCCTGAGTTACAAACTGAACACCCAGAACTAGGAATCAAGGAATACATTGACGGAAAAGGTGTTATGATGAGTGATATGGAACTGGATCATTTCAATATAAAAGGCATTGAACGAAACGAAGTTTTGAAGTTGGAATATCAATTAACTGAATACCGAGGCCAACCGATAATGCTGACCAAATACGATTCGCGTTTGATGTCCGAACCTGCTTGGGATAAAATTCTAACTGAAATTGCAATATACACTAATATTGAAGGTCAGAATGTCATTGCGCCGATGGGTGTTTTCATCGATAAAGATGCAATTTATGTGATGCTCACTGTGCCGCAGTATCCGAGTGTTCTTTTACCTCGAAAAAAGGGACTTGACAAACCAATGGCAAAAGGAATTCTGAAAAATATTGCTTCCGCTCTAAACATGTTACGTGAAAATGGAATTTATCACGGGCAAGTAACTCCTAGTTCAGTGCTTGTGGCAGAGCAATCTCCTCATCAAGCTTGTTTATCTGTTCCTAATTTCATGATCAGAAGTCAGATGAACCAGGAAAACACACAGGAAAGTATTGCTGCATCTCTTGCCAATGATGTGTACAAATTTGGTATGCTTGCTAAAGTTCTTGAGGAAAAAACAGAAGGAGATGCCGTTTTTGAAGACGTTGTAAAATTATGCCTTGAGAAGTCTTCTGATATAAATATGCAGTCTATTATTGACATCCTGTAGATTTCAATTTTTGTTCGGGGGAAAATATAGACTTGTCACGACTTCAGGATTGTTTACGTCGAATGTATATAATTAAGAAGGACATTTTTGCATTACTTTTTTAGTCTTTGCTATTTTTTTTTGTGTTAAATTGGGATTATTTGTAATAACTCGGTGTAATTAAGTTTTTCCTGAATCTTATTTTTTGTACATAGGCATGCCTCTTGCAGTTCTTCATATATTAGTTTTTTTTGTACAGCTGCCAAAAATTGCCTTTTTTGATATATTTTGCATCACTGCCTTTTTTTAGATAGCCTATTCAGTTTGTATCAAAATTTTTTATCGCATATTTGGGATTATTTCAGCATTTGAAGAGAATAATACTCACCCACACCACACTCAAAACAATATTTTTTTTCAATTTTTATGTTTTTTTACCAGGTGAAATTTCATTTCCACTGTGTTTTGGGTTTTATTGATTTTTTTCACAAATCACTGTTCATTTCTTGTTATCAATTCTGTATTATTTCATTTCAAGCACTGTTTTTGTTTTAATAGATGTCATAGGGATTAAATTTATAATACATTTCTAACCCTGTATTGTCATTATATAATGCCAGTCAAGCACGAAGTTGAATTTTTGACATCAGATTTTGCACTGAATGAAATAGGATCAGAACTTCTACAAATATTTGGCCACTACCAGACTTCAGAATCAATCAAAAAAGTATGTACATTTTGCAGTGAGCAGTGAGAATTTCTGGTGCATGGATGATTTAATAGGATAAGATTTTCCTATTTATTCCACTTGTCACAGCGTTTCATGTCTGATATGGGCTTGGTCAGCCAGTTATTTGATTCCAGAACCAGATCCTCTCACACATAATTATCCGCCACATGATTCGAACCTGTGAACCCACACAGGATAATCAGAGATGTAATTGCCCTTAAAGCTTGGGACAGTGCACCATACCGTCGATCCGATGCATCTTGACCAAGACATATATACTATTCAGTGTACATTTTTATATTGTTCGTTACTATTTGTGTTTTTTTTCTAGGATGTTGTGAACGCATTTTCTCTGTCATCTCTCCTGCCATGGCCTTACATTCTTCTCACTTTACTCGGTATTGCCGGATTGCTGTCTACTATTACTACTGTTGGGTATGATGATTTTGTATGATTTGTCCTTCCCCAGTCAATTTATATTTTTAACATTTTCACTTTTTTTGCATTTGAATCATTTATTATTTTGCTAGTCTGGATGAAAGGAAGGTTTAACCAGATGTAAATATGTAATTGAATAATAGAATTCTGATGGAGTCATTTTACCGCAAAGTTTTATTCAATTCAGATCATACTAATATAAGAAATCCATCCATCCATGTACCGTATTTTTTAATTTGTTCCTTTTGAGGTCCGAATCTAATGCATCTTTTTTAATAAAAATAAGAAAATAATAGGCCTAGTTGTGTTAATGTGTTCGATTTATCTTGCAGAAGTTCTGAGGTCTGTGCATTCCTTCTATTATCAATACTGATTCTTAACATCATTGTGTCGTTATGGGAGACCAAAAAAAAAAGGAAAGAAATTTTATTCAGAACTATGTGGTGCTGTAATAGCCTAAGCGGTAAATATTGTGTTCTTTACATTCAAATATTTTTTATAAACATATAGTATATATTCAATTTTATTTGGTGAAAGCTTGGCTGATGGACACGGATAAGGTTTTCGTTATTCCACGATTTATTTTATCGATATCTAAATTTACCAATCCAAATTTAGGTGATTTTCTGGACCCAATTATTTTACCTGATTTTGGGGGTTGGTTTATTGGTGGCACAGCTTACTTTCTCTATCCTGAGGTCGGAAAAGGGGACAATGGCTTTTTTTCCGACCCTTGACCCCTGAAATATTCTTCATATACTTTATCATATACTTTATTCTTTATCATTGCACAATCATTGCACTGTGTTTTGGAGAGTTGGCACTTACCAACTGGCTCACATGTTTGAAACTATTATTTTTATTTAATACTAATAATTTTATTTATTACTAATAATTTTAAGCTAGTCTTCCTGTTCGTGTACCATCCTGTCAATTAACTGAGGAAAAAATTGGTAAAGTCTATTATAATACATAGAGCTTTGTTTAAGCACGTTGTTCTGGACAATCTACTATTAAAATTATTTTCTTTTAGATGTTTATAAGGACTCAACTACTACAGATTGCCTTGAATTAAATGAATTCAGTTCGCTACTCAACAATTGTGATACTTCTGCAATAAGTAGTAGTCCATCACACAGTATTTCCTGTGTATATAGAAAAGACGTTGGAAATTCTGAAACTCCGTTGCCTATCCCGACAGCACTTTTAGCCACAGGTGATTTCATTTCACTTTGGCCCGGACAAGAAAGCCCAGCAAAAGTAGAATGCGCTCAGGTGAGAAAATGTATGATTTATTGAGGCAGTCATGATACAATAATATATGCATATATATACTCGCGTACCCAACTTTGGACTGGTTATCAGATGAAAGGCCGTAGTACGACGTAGTAAATGAAAAATCCTATCAAATCCCATTATTTTTCCAGGATGAATGTTTTGTTTTGGAATGTGGGGAAATATTTCAACTTAGTCATTTGCAGGGATGCAGTGTAGGTACAGATGATGAAGATAATCCTAGTAGTCACAGGTTTGTGAGTTAATTTTATAAATTTTTCGACAGTATACCTGATAACACTTAACTTTAATAATAATATCATATTAAAATTTCAGTTTTTCAATTTGAGATGAAAAATCTTCAACATTTTGTCATTGCTATATTACAATAGTCTGAATATAAGCAAAATAATGGTCTGAAAATGCGCATGTTTTTATCAAGAGTGGAGAATTTGATTTGTTTTGAGTTGTGTCAAACAACGTTATTAGTATTCATTCATAACACCCAAGTTTGTCACCCAAGTTGACAAAAATTTTTTTTTAAAAAACTTTTTAACTATAAATAAATATTACCTTGTGCAAGTTCAAATCTTATGGGGAATAATTACGTTCGAGGATTGCTGGATTTCTAGCTGTAAGTGTTGGTTCACCATTCACATAACCTCTAACCTGTGGTCGTAATTGGTATCTGAAACAAAAATAACTGGTTCACTATTCCGATCCTATATTCTGCATACATATTTATGCATCATGGCAAATCTTTCATCATTTTTAGATTCAGGGTATTGGAATCACCAATTTCAGCTGAATTCAAGAAAATATTTTCTTCAATGAATCAAGAATCTATAAAACATGAAACGAAACCTCCCATATTGTTTGAGAGACAAAGAAGATATTTTTTAAGTTGGTTCCTGAAGTTTGTCATTCCAGCATTATTGGTAATTTCTGTGTCTGAGTCTGAGTGAGTGTTATGTATGTATGAGTGAGTGAGTAGGAGCAGAGTCAGGTTCATAATTTCAGACATCTGATGGTTTCAATTGAATTTTCCAAAATTGTAACTGAACCTAAATAGAGCATTAAGTATACTTCAAAAGTTTTATCAACTTCATATCACGCTAGAGTTGGAGTCAAAATTTGTTCAATCCAGATTTGGGGTAATTTTCTAACTTTTTTCACTGTGGCGATTGTGGAATACAATTTTTACAAAGAGATTTTTCTCAAAGCAAAGGTGTGCACACTCACTCAGAAGTAAATGAGACCGATCTTGGAGTGAAGTTACTCCAGTGCTGAAAGCTACTGAAACTGTAGAATATTTGCTCAGTAAAGACAGTTGTTGTTACCTTATGTACCCAGTTTCTAATTCTAGTTATTTGTAGACCATTGGATTCTACTGGCTTTACTTTAAAAGTCATTTACCTAAATTAGGTTTTATTTGAAAATTATGACATATTTCAGAAATGTAAATCATTCCCTAATTTGTGTAGAGATGATTCATTTCGTGCTGACACAAATAACAACACAAAATTTGTCCTTTCAGTGACTATTAACCCTAATTATGTTGTCACAGTGTGAATATTTATTTAGGGCAATACAAGCTCTTAAAAACTTTTATTTACCATTCTTAGTATTTGCTGATTATGTTATTGCTGACTCTTTAACCTAAATCATTAAATCTCCAGCAGTGAGTGTTTACCATTTGTCTTAGAAGCCAGAATTTTATGTCTGCATAGTATCGTGTTTTCACTGACATTAATTTTCGAATTCATCATTTTTCCGTCCAAGTTCAAACTGAAAAAACATTTGCAGCACCGATTGGAACCATTGTAGGGCTTTATTGTTTTAATATACCAGAATTCATTTTTATAAAAATAAAATAAACCCCAAATAAATCATATATTTGAATACACATAAAATATATACATTTGATATAAAAAAGTCAAACAAAAGAATTAACTAGTACTAACAATATCTGGCTCACTAAGTGTTTTAATGTGCTTCATCGGGCTTGTCCCCAGACATATCGTATTTTGGGCATGTATGATACAGTGCGTATTCCTCTTAAAACACAGTCGCTTTGTGAATTGTAGTTGAGGACAATTTTTTAGCATGTTTTCAATGAAGTTGGCTTAAAATCATAGGCCACTTTGGACATTGCGATTGACCAGATTAACGCTCTTTATAAAGAATCAAATAAATAATAAATAATTATAAAAAATTGCTGCTTGAAAATATATTATTTTATCATAATATTAGACACATAGTTTTTATTGCACGATAAAGCAAATATTAAGAAGTATTGATTATATTTCTGTAGATTTTGGAAGTTCGATTTTGGTACTCCTGAAGTATGCGCACCAAGATGTTGCATACCCTGAACCCTAACATGGTACACAACATGATTTCAGGTTGTGTGCCATCTTGGTGCGCATACTTCAGGAGGTCCTCGATATCAATATTACCGCAAGCCTTGTATTTTTGGCCTTGATTCAGTGTGTTTTTGCTATAAATTTTGAGGGAACGTTCTTATCAATTAAATGTCTGTTTCAGGTAGTTGCTTATATTGTAAGCATTGTTCGATTACTGGTATTGCCTCAGCCAGTAAACGAAGTCAACCTCATAATTTCAAGCAAAGATTTCAAATTGAATATTTCTGCAGTTAATGATGACACAAATTCATCATGGTATAATTTGCTCATAGAAATTCCGATACTACTATGCATTCCTTTAATGCCATTGTTGCTACCTGGGCTTTTAATACTTTTGACAACGATTGGAGAAGCAAAAACTTTGGCAGTTTGTCAGACAACTAAACCTATCACAGTAAGTTGTATATTATCTTCAGTATCATAAATATATGAATAAGAAATGTTGTGGTTATGCACAATGTAAATTTCAAGTTTTTCTCAACAGGACATAGGATAAGAAGTATGGCCTAGTACAGTGTTGTTTAAATTTCTGTCATCGAGACCCACTTGGCTATTTTACATCCCTCAGAAACGAAAATAAAAATTAATAATACAGAATGATTTAAAACATTATATAGTTAAAACCTTTAATGAGAACGAAGTGATTGCATATTCTTACACAAAAGATCAAATATTGGCTTTATTTCGGTGATGGTGGGTCTCACTACTGGTGTTTGATCTTTCAAATTTGATTGATATTTTGTTTTAACATATCGTAAGTTAGTGTCAGAAAAGATTTTACCAAGACCCCCATTAAACCCTTTCACGACCCACTAGTCAGGACCCCCCCAAGAGCCCAGGCCTAGTACATTGGTACTCGAACTTTTGTGGTGACAGTTAAATTACTAAATTACTAGTTGATTAAAATTAATGTGGGTAACCTAAATAGTTCCCAGTGAAACCTTTTCGCAGCCATCAAAGAACCATTCCATGGTCTCTTACAGCCATTTTGAGAAAACCCAGCTCAGTAGTTAGGTGTCAACTAATTTGTTATCACAGGTTTCAGCACATTCCCTTCAATTTGTGGCATTGGTTAATAATTTTAATACCTGCTTAATTTTATCCTTGGTCAAAATAAAAATTTCCTATAAGTTTGTTTTTATCTTTTTAGCTCGATCAAATGGTCACAACAACAAATACACTAAGTTCCCAAGCTGTTTTTTTCAAATCTAAGGTAATAAAATAATTCTTAAATTTTCATTATCATATGCATTACTTCATACATTGAGTGTATTGTTCTAAGATTTGATGTTACTAATGTCTTTAAATTGCAAATAAAATCAGGACTGTCAATTTTTGTTATAATTTATAATCCACGATTAATTTTTGATTTTGGGAAACTACCTTGGAATGTTATTGAAAATCAGATCTTCTCCCCCCACCTCGATGAATGAAAAATAACTAATCTAGTGTTTTATCACACTCTATGAGAGAGAATTTCATAGGTGATTTTAAATATTGTTTGTCGATTGTAATATGTGAATTTGAAAGATGGATCTAGTTTATATAAATTGTGCGACTAAGGCATGGCTTCCCAACTCAGTAAGAAATTCTCCCCGTGAAGAACTTTTGTTGATTTCGGAAAAGAAATGCATCATTGTTAGTTGTTACTAGTAGTAATGCAATCATCACAAATAGTACCAAGTAAAGGTCTTTGCTTGTGGCATAATATGAACCGCTTCGCTGAACTTGGCCTCCTAAGGGAGCCTAATGTCCAATTTGAGGAAACCCCTATCTAAGGCATTAACTTTTAAAATATAAATTTTTCTTGTCATTAGCATTTGTTTCTAAGAACCATGAACAATTCTGCTCACAATAAAAGTCCTATGGAGAATGCTCATGTGCGAGTCGATTAATACATTCATTGATATGATTATTTTTGTGTTTCAAGGCAGCACCTAAGGAAAAATGGCAAAATTTATTCTCAAAGTTACTTCTAGGAAAAGATGGTAGTTTATTCCACAGAAATGCTGGTTTATTCATGCCACTGGGTTCATTGACAGTAAGTTAATACTATCGACATATAGTTGAGACAGATGCTGATAAAAAAATCTAGAATATAGGCTAACAATTAACAAAAGAGTAACTTGTTACAACTTTTGCCTTATATATACGATTTTTCAACTGCTTTTTGATAAGATTTTTGTATTCTCGTTTATTATCATAGTCTTACATCTAACGATACGTGTGGAGCTGCTATATTTGGAAATAGGGAAATCTATCTGGTTTAGCATTACCTACCCAATTTATTACACCCTGGGTGAGAGTGCTAGGCATGGGATTTAAACTCAAGATGTGTTGTGCCATCAAAAACAAGTCCAACGCTTTAACCGCTAGGCATGTGGTTCTCATACTTTTTAAGCTGCGTCCACTTTTTAGAGTTTATCAAGTCTCGAGCCCACCTTAAGAATAACTAGCTAACAATAGGCTGGAAATAACAGATAGTAAGGCGAAAGTATGTTTTATTAAAAAAAGGTTGAAAATATGTGGATGGAACGTAAATAATGAAATAAATGAAAAGTTTTAAAAACAAATGAGGCGGGCAGGATCAAATGTAACGAATATTTTATTTTAATTAGCTTCACGCTTTCTCAAAAGGTTGTCTATGCCCCCGTGTGGAGTGCGCCCAACCGTTCAAGAACCACTGCACTAGGCCATCACACCCACAGAACTTACAGAATTTGATTTGAGAGAAATTAAATAAAAGAAGAATAATCATCTAATTTTCTGATCGATCAAATGTTTTTATTCAGATTTTATGCTGTGTTGACAAAGAAGGTATACTGTCTTGGTTCAATCCGATCGCAGAAAAAGTTTTCTTCTTCAAACATGAAGCATCAAATGAAGCTATAAACGATAAATCTCAAAATAAAGATTTACAAGATATTTTTAAAGATTCACCTGAGGTAAACATGTTACCTGTATTGAGAGAAAATGACGAGGAGGAGTTGAATGGAAGCCTGTTTGGGAAAAATGTAAGTGAACATATTTAACCAATTTTTTTTTTTTGGTTCAATTTTTGTTTCAGAATACCAGATTTGACTATCAAGAGTGTGATTCCAAGTCTGTGCGGTCGGATCGGAGAGCGATTCTATTGATATTGGGGTCGGAGCTGAAAAATTTTTTTGAATAATTCTTAGTCTAATCCAAGGTTTTTTACACTTTTGATGTTGGAATTTTGAAGTCGAATTTTTCAACAAAAACTAAAAAATAATTAAGCTGATTAAGCATTCTCAATAGACAATTAAAGAAGGGTTTGCATATCACAACGATTTTTTTGTCTTTTTGCGTGTTTTCTTGAGTTAGAAGCTCAAGATAGGTCAAAATTTCCACCAGACTTGAGCCAGCATCAAAATTTTGGCAACCAGGAGTCAGTGCTGGAGTTTTTGATCATTTGAAGTCGAATTTTTTCTCGATTTTATACTTTGCAGTCTGAAAAAATAGGTATACGATAAATGCAAATCTAAAATCGTTTTATGTCTTTTTTTAAATTAATCACGCAGATAGAAGAAGTGATGTAACATTGCCCCGATTTGCCAGTTGAGTAGGCTTTCATAATTTTGAGTTATTTTGTATTTTTTTTTTCATATTCACTTCAGTATATACTGATATATCATTTTTATGCTATAATCATTTACTCAAAATTTTTGCTTTATTTGAAGGATGTAACGAGCCCTGGTTCCGATGAACAGAAAGTAACAACAGAAACATTGACATTGTCTCAAGATTCTCGAGATCCATCACATGTGAGTTTTTATTTTATCCTCATGTTGATAAAATCACCAAGCAGGAAAGCAGTTCATGTAATTTGTTTGTAATGTAATTTGGTATAAAGATATCAAAACAGTACTCACATGAATAATAATAAAATATTGACCCCTGTGGCCCCCAGAAACAATGTGAAAAATAATAGCTCACTTGCGACTTCTTCCATCTTTGATATGTTGAATCGATTGATCTGGTAGCTTCAAAAAAAAAATTGATTCATATTTGCACTACATTGTCAAATAACACCATATTAAGAAAATCAATTAAGAATGTTAGTGATTAAACAAATTATTTTGCATTTCACTACATGAGAATTTTTTTTCCATTGCATCGACCTGAATTGCTTCAAGACTCTCGTTAATCAGCATTTTTTAAAAAATGCAATGTAATACCCTAATAGTAGTTCCAGTAAGTCTTGGTTGGGTTGTAGCCAGGGAGAGGGATTAGGTTCAGAACTCCCTTTCACCCCTTTTAAATGTACATCAAGACTCCTTAAGTAAAAACCAATGTTTTTCAGTCTCGGCCGGATCTGCTAGCTGCTATGGTCGTACTTGTCAACCCTCCTTTGGAAAATCTTTGGCTCTTGGCAATTTGATGGTCTCCCATTTTGTTCTGATGATTGAAAATACTTTCGAAATTCAATATTATTTCTACTTTCTGTTTTGTTCGAAATGCAGATTCAATTCGATGATGTTACATGGGAAAATCAACTTTCCTCCTTAAAGCCTATTGGTTTGAATATTGTTTTGAGTTTGTGTTGCTGCCCCATAGATCAGAATAATCTTCAATTGAAGGATGCCAACGGCTCTTTTCAGGCAGAAATATTGGAAATGTTGAATCAGGTAGGCAATAGACATAAAGTTGAAAAAATTTCGTTTCTATAAGATGGAATGTATATTATTTTTGAATTGTACGATGAAATATGATTTGATTGACTTGAAATCACCCTTTTAGTGTTAACATTTTCAATGTAAAATTTTTGCATTACTCCATTCTGAAACCTATTATAAAGAGTATAGTAGATTTCAAGGAAAAATAACTTCATAAATGTTTCTGTTGGTGATTGTTGGTTCTTCTGTCATGCAATCTTTACAAGTGGATCGATTCACGAAATTGGTTTCTCATCTTTTTTCAGTTGAACAATGCTAATTTTATTTCTTCACAGATGATACTTATTCATTACACTATTGTGTCTCTGATAGTACCGTACTTTTATTATTCGAAGGCTTTGAGCCAAAAGGGTGAATCTTTAAAAATCTGAAATAAGAAAATGGGCAAAAGTATATTTTTAATTTTTAAACTCTTGTATTTTTCATTGAAATACTCTTGGTTTATATTGTTGGTTCAAGCTATGATTGACTACCAGCTTAAATACCCATATCTTTGTAATAATTTCAAATTATAACTGTTCAAAATTTTAACGTTCACCCACTTGTCATGAAACCTCTGGGATTCTATTCTGACGACGCGTTTTTATATGAATTCTTCTACCATAATTGTTTACATAATTTATTTATAGTTTGTTCTTTACAAACTATAAAATGTACTACTGTACAAATGTAAACACTAAAACGTTATACTGACTTGAATCTTTCAGAAAGATTTTCTAAATGATCAAAGAAATAAATGTTCAGATAATTCATCTCCACATTTTCGAATGCATGAACAAGAACTTTCTACAATTGCTTGTAATTCTGACTGTTTAACACCAGGTAAGCCCCTTGTTGTTGTAGGAAAATGTTTATTCAAATTAACAAATAAGTAGCATTCTACTGCAAGTACAAATGATGTCCATATTATATATTCTCAGCCAGGAAGAGCTGGAGTCAAATAATTTTTCTATTTCCATTGCATTCCAAATTAACTTTTTGCGAATAAGATTATGATATTCTGAATTCTTTCTTAAGTCAACTATTTACTATATAGCATGTCACTACCGGAACTATTACTGGTTTGCTGCTATTTGGAACTACGGTAATATTGACCTTCATTGCTATTTCTATAAGAATTCGTCCAAATTAATATGGAACTTTTTTTATCTTGCCCAACGTATATTTCAGGGGTTCTCAACAACAAGTACCACTGAGTCATGAAACAATCAACTCGAACCCCCGGTAGTCAGACACCAAACAAAGTTGTAATATATTGATATTGACTAACAATTTGCTGCAACAACAATTCATTGACCAACTGCTGTAACTAAATTAAATCTTTTTGTTGATGTTATTGCCATTGTCCTCCGTCTGACTAATGAATTCTCAAAATCTCGCTCTCAAGTTTCAATTAGCATATCATTTTCTGCAATGCTTGCAGCACATTGTCTTTTGAGATTTCACTGTTTGACTGCAAAGCCGTGGATTTCAAATTGTTGCATCACAACAACGCAAGATCTGGGGAAATCTACGCTGTGTTTTAATCGACACACATTTTCCTCTGGTAGTAAAGAATATTAAAAAATAGCAACACATGAACACACGTACCCCTGGTTGAGAACCCTTGGTATAGATAGAAACATCTTTTAGTTCTATGAGTCAGGCATGCCTTCAGGTATATTCAGGTTTAGGAGATATAGTACACAACTGGTATATTAAAAATAAGTATATATATTGCTTACACTTATTTGCTTCGTTCTCTATAACTTCAATAGGATTCACCAGGCATTGATACAGCATAGGAAATTCATAATTGTTTAAATTTAAGGCTATAGAAGGCTATGGATTCTATTGTACAAGACAAATTCACAACTTATTGCTGTTTTTATCCTGCGTATACATTTTGTTCAATTTTGTGTTCAGGTAATAGAATTGCTACAAAGGGTCTTTGTTCTTTTGCTGAACTTATTGGTTTTGCTCAAGATGTAAGATTGGCATACACATGCAAGGTTTGTCTTGTGCTTTTGGCTTTTATAGTTAATTGGTATTCGTAAATTTTATATTTTAGTGTTCTGAAACTTTTTTTTACCACGAACCACTTAGCACGGCCAAACGTGATCCCCAGGAACTCAAATAAAAAAAAAATAAATTTGTGAATGAGGAAAATATTAAAAAAAAGGAAGGTCAAGTTGTCAATACCTTTAATGAGCCTGATGTGCTTTCATTTTCTCGCACAGAAGATCAAATCTTGGCTTTATTTCGCTGATGGTGGATCTCCGTACTGGTTCCAACTGTTTCAAATTTGATTGACGGTTTGTGTTTAACATTAGGTAATGTTGAAAAAGATTTGACCATGACCGCAATTGCGTCCCTACACGACCCACTGGGGAGTCCGGACCCCTAGTTTGGAGAATCCTGTACTTAACAATAAAGATTAAAATTCCTCATTTTAAATTATTGAATTTATACTAATCCTGGGAGATTTATAAGTTTTTAATTTCTCCTCTGAACATTCTGATGTCTTTGTTCAGATCGAGAAAACTTATAGCACAATGAGGTGGTTATCCTTTGTATATCTTTTTGCGCTGTTGGTATTGACACTATGTTTTGATATATACATGTAAGACTATTGGTTCCTTGTCTTTTTCTAGCAAAGTTTCTCAGCGTTCAAGAGACCCATATGCGCTTTATCGCAACATCATCTTGCTAAGCTCGATATCAGTGTTTCATCTCAAGAACACGCAGATTTGTCTCTGGTTGGAAACATTGAAACTTTACTAAAAAGAAATAAATGGAAACAATATCTGCCTCACATGCATGGTGTTGTGTTACAAGATGCATTTGGTGAGATCGGATAATTTAGATTTTAAATACAATTTTTTTCAAAGTTGAAAATGTTGCATGTTAAAATAACCAAGTTTAAATCCCATTCCCAGGGTGTAAGAAACTGGGTAAGTAATTTCAACGTATTACCCCATATCCTCATATCTCTAACCCCGATATAATTGAACCCTCTTTACAACTATATTTTCACAATGTGAACTTAACATAAAATCAACCAGTTAAATAATATTTTCTACTTTATGTATAAACTATTTTTTAATCACCATACCACAAATTTAATAACCTCTTTAGCGTATTCTCTTATTTGCATTTATAGCCAATGTTTGTTAACTACAGGTGATGAACATGCTCTTGTTTACGGAACTGGTGACCTCATCGCAGAGCAATGTAAATACATTTGGGACGGGAAAGAAACTCGGCCTAATTCTGTATTGGACAGAAAAAAGGCTGTCGATTTTTACCAGAGAAGTTCCGCAACAGGACTGTGTATTGCATTTGCTTTCATGCCTGTGATTCCTGAAAGTTTGGAAGATAAAAAAATGGATGCAGAAAATGATAATCCTGTTTTGATTAATTTGTCCAAAACTAAAGAAAAGTGAGTTTAGGTTGATTGAATTTATATATTTTTTAAATATATATATTTTGAGAGCGAATTACGTTACTGCAGAGAGTTTATTGCTGTCTGATGTTCCATTGATGTTCATTTGTATGACCACTACCATGCAAAATTGGTACATATTATGTGAACCAAGTTGGCGGACAGCGGAATGTAATATGTGTACCAGGTTAGGGTTAGGCCATAATTTCAGGTACAAATGCTTCGGGAGTTACTTGGCTAGTCCCCGAACTCGTAATAGAACTAAAATAAGGAAAATTGGAATAAAATATATGCAAAAAATAAAGATATTCTATTATTTTTAGGGCGATTTATCTGCAATTTATTTTGTTACCTAAATTGTATTTATCCCAAGCCTTTTGCTGGTAATATTTGAATGTATTGCTTGTTCTGAATAGTGAAACTAGTCTAAACTTTTGATATTTCCAGGAAGAGAAGTAATATCGGACCAAATCACAAAGAAATATTGAGCAATATGATATTTTTGGGAATGACTGGACTCCAACACCAAGCCAGATTTACTGTTTGTCAAATGGTTGATATGCTAGATAGGGCTTGCATCAGATTTGTTTATTTTTCTGCTGACAATGAAGTCAGATCTAGGGTGTGTATACTTTTTATAACTGAATTTAGGAATGTTCGGGTATTTTTCGATCTGGTGTTTCAGATGCTGTATTTCAATTGTCTCTCCCATATTCATTATTTCGATGTTCTGTGTCATCAGTAGCCGTTTGTATAAGTCCTTGGAATAAAAGGGGTGGATAGGTGTCATATAGGAAAAGTCGTTTGCAATAATCTTGACTGGGCAAAAACACAACTGGAGCAGTCCTACCAATGCTCTTTCAACATGCCTCACATTTTTACAATTTTACACTGAGGAGGAAATCGCATTGAATTTTGTTTAAATAAAATGTCATTCAATAAAGTGTTTTGAAAAATCATATAATCAAGATTTTCATTTTATCTGTGAAACCATATATTTTGTGATTATATGTATCAAATTTAGAAGATATCATGATCTCCAAAATAAAAACCAATTTCGGTTACTCGAAACTGAAATTGTTATCAAATCAATACATAGTTATAGGATACATATCTATTCAGATACTTATCTTTATGACTGACTCCTTTTGTCATTTTCAACAGGCATTTGCGGAGAAAATGGGTTTGGAAACAGGCTGGAATTGTCATATATCATTGTCAGATTCACCCAACAATACAATTGTACAGGAAGGAAGATTCACTCAGATTCAAAACAGAAGTGAGTCATCTAAAAGCAGATCGAGTTCTGAAGGGAATTCTAAGCAAAAGCAAGTTCAGGATGATGGTGAGTGTGATTTTGGTGGTGATCATAAACTAGTTTTTTGCATCTTTGTGTGTTTAATGTTACTTAAACGATTAGTATGGGTTATGTAGAGGTGGACATTTTAAAATAAATGTGGTTATTTGAATAATATTAACCCTTTTCATGCGATTTTTATTTTTTATTAAATAATCGTATTTGCTACGCCGACTTTATGCATTTGTACCCCCACAACTAATCGATCGACTAACGAAAAAGTAATGATCCTCTGCTGCCCACTGTCGGCTCGTTGGAAAGCTTATTTAAAAAGCTTGCAATTGGCGATTTTTTTTTCGAAAGGGGTGGTCTGAGTCACAAACCGGATAGAAAAAAAGGCATTTTTTTTTCTTGGGTGTTGAAACTTCAAACCGTGATAAAAAACAGAAATATTCGCTAAAACCTTTACTGTTACCGCTCCTTGGTTGGCAAACAATAGCATAATATTGCTGTAGCAATTTCGTTATCTAACTCAAAATACTTTGGTAGATGGAAGGGATAATATGTCTTCTATTACCGCCCAAAAAACACCGAAATTTGCATAAATTTCAAAAACACTTCCTCGTTCCGCCGCAAATAAAATTCCCATGGTAAACGAAAGCGAGATTTACCGTCGCTTATGTAAATCTCGAAGAAGATTTCTTATCAATAAACTAAAACCCGGAAAAACTAGACCAACAGTTTGCGACCGATTGCTAAATAAAACAGTGGAGTGCATCAACATACCCGCCGCAATCTAGCGAGTTTTGTCGTGGGTACGTATACGTGCCCACCGCACGGAAAGGGTTAATGAAGTGATTTAATTTAGTTAATGTATAAAACAGTAAAATTATGTTCACATATACAGACATGAAGGTACAGTCCCATATATTATTAGAAATAAATTTAAAAAATATAGTTGAGTTGAAATATTGAGTCCTGACAAGTAGGCCTAATAAATAACTGGTGACTACTTCCCGCTTTGATGGTATTGAAAATTTGGAATCGACTGGTCCATTAGTAGCAGAGTGTTTTTTCACAACAACAACAATTTAGCAAAATGATCTATATGTATATTTTCTGTACAATAGACAAACAACTTCCTTTCACAATGTTATCTTGGACTTATCCATGTTTACTGTTGTTGAGTAATTTGTTCACCATTGTTTGGTGTTTAACCAAGTACGGCTATGATGTTGGTACAAGATTAATTATGTCGTGATTTTTAGAATAGTCACATATTGTTAGATCCATATACCTAACTATTTTAAGTAAGTCTTCGACAACTAATTTTATAGTTGAAGCTTGTTAATAAATTTTAATTAAGCTTTTAATTTTTCTTTCATCCCTGCACGTTGGGCATTGAAATCTTGTGTCAATTTTACAATTTTTTTTTGTATTTAATTTCAATTTCCCAGTAGAAGAAGATGATAGTCCTTCGAGTCATCTGCTCGATAGAATGTCGCCAAGGACGCAGAGTGAATCAAGTGCATCAGATTCTATCTTCAATGTTTCAAATAGGGTAATTAATGTATTTCTATATTTGATTGCATAGAATTGAATAACAATGTTGTCATCTATGTTACCATGTAGAATGTAGTAGAACTAAATTTGAGACCTTAGGATGAAAACACCATCCATGGCAGGGCTGTGGAGTGAAAGTTGGATTAAGGCATGGTTTACTGGTGTTTGAACCGAAGCCAGAGTCAGAGTTGGATATTTCTTCCACTTCCAACCTCACCCATGCAACATTTATCTGGTCGACTGATTTCCTGGATTAAAAACCAGATGAAAGGCTTTGTCGACTTTTCTCCATAATTGGTATAAATTTACCCCATCTATATCAATCTTACACCCTTCACATAGTAGAGTTACTATTCCACTATCAGGGCTGTGAAGTATTGAGTTTAGCGTTTTTTAACTGGATTTAAAGCCGGATTTCAAAATTCAGAATTCTGGAGGCTGGAGTTAGAATTGTGGAATTCAGTCGAGGTGGAAGGAGGTTAAAATGTTCTACAAACACTCAAAAGTATTAAATCCTCTTATTAAAGTGTCCTGATCAGGTCATATAAAGGGTTTTCATAACCCAAAGTTTTTGTTGTGAAATTTCACAGTGTACAGACTGGGTCTGAGTTAAAATTTTTCAGTCGTAGTTGGAGCCAAAATTATTTCACGTTGGAGTCTGATTGTAAAATTTCGCTATTGGCTATGGTGTATACTGGCCTGCACTTCAATGGTGAAGTATTGTAAGCCAAGAAATTTTTTGTTCAGGCCAAGCTACCAAGAGGAATCAAAAATATTGTTCCACATATTGAAAATGTTGATAATGTTCCACTACTTGTTCCTTTGTTTACTGATGCAACACCTGAAAGTGAGTGACTCCTAAATTAAGTATCAAAATCATTAAATAAAGTAAAGTTATAATCATGTTCATGTTACTCGCAGCTGCAAGTGAAATGCTAGAAATTATGCAAGATTACGGTGAAGTTGTCTGTTGCATTGGAAGTTCAGATTGCATCAGGAATATGTCCGTCTTTCATAAAGCTCATGTCAGGTAGGTCGAAAGTGTATATTATTTTTTATTTTCCAGAAAGTAACTGGGATATTTCAAGCACTATAAAGAGCATGGTAATGATAATTACAGAACAGGAGTTGATTACAGAACAGGAGCTGATTTCCTCAATTAAATTTCTTATTCTCCCTCCATCCAATCATGCCTATCTTATTTATATTATTTATTTTCAGCTTAGCAATTGAACCATTGGTACATCCTATGAAATGTAGCAAGTCTTCTTCACTTTCGAGTTCAGACAGTAACAGCATAAACAGTGAATCCTATGGATATGTGTCACCAGTAAGTTACTTTTCTACAGCTTGTATTTATCACTATTACCACTTTATTGTATTTTGTTCGTTTATAAATAAACTTTGTGAAAGCTGTGTCTCAATTGTTGGCCAGAGCTTCAGGCCTGAAGCCCTGTTTAGTCTGAGGCACCTTACCCAAAGTGTAATATGTTAGGGAATCTGGAAAAATTCTGGTGTTTTCAAAAAAAAATACAGCTATGGGTTGTTTGTAGGGATCCTTATTCTAAGCAAATCGATGAAACTCCTATTTCAAAGGATTCCTGATTACATGTACAGCCCCACATTATGAGCCAAACTGTGTTGTCCCTTAAAAAGACTTTCAGTTGATTTGTTTACATGATATCGTAACACATCGTTACATATCGTAATAACAGGATGCACAGCAGTTGTCAATTTCAAACTGTGTTGCCATGAGAACAGCAAGACAACTTCATTGTTTTCCATGCTCTTTACTGCTATCTGGTGATAATAGCTTGAATATAATATCAACAATGATAACTCAGGTTTGGAAATCTATATGTATTAATAAGAATATTTTATCATGAAATTTTATCAAAGGCTGCTAAATCTACCGGTCTAGACTGGATATGGTTTGAATTGAAGAAGCAAAGCCCAGCAAACCTCGTAATAGCAAGCGTCCTTCTAACACCAGATATTATGCACCTAACTGGCAGGCAAATTGAACATAATATTCTCTGAAATACATTCTATGTGATACAAAATATGTTTGTCTTTAAATCACTTGGCTTAATTAGGAATTGCTGGCATGTGTAAAAACATTCCTTGAAACATTCTCTCAATTTAGTTTTTAATTCCTTATGCAATGTTGATTCGCTGAAAAGCAAGATAGCATGTACAGCTGGTAGGCGGTAATTTAATCACCAGCTACTGGTTATCATCAATTAGTCAATTGTTACAGATCATGGACATGGTGTTTGTCAGTGAGCCGAATCAAAACAGACTAGCCATCTTGACACTGGAAAAATCCTAATCATATAATTCTATATTATCATATATTTTTTTTCTTATCAGGCTCGTCATTTTCTATTCCTTATGAGGATATGTTTCATATTTATGATGAAATGTCAGATTGCATTATCTTTGTTTCAATTATTCACACATACCATGTTACTACCATCACCGTTTTTAGCAATGGACGTCTTTTGGATTGCATTTGTTATCTCACCATGTCTTAGGTATAATGTTTTCTATATGACTAGATATTTGAAAATTTCAATTGATTTGTAAACAAGACTCAAGTTTAGTTAATCAATGAGAGACATATTATTGTAATTTTTCAAGTTTGTTTACTAAAGCGACACTTGATATTGTTAATGAATCTTTATAATATCAGGGATGGCAAACCTTTTTTTTTTGAATGGGCAAATATTCAATTTTTATTAATTGGAAACGAAGACAATGGGACATAGATATTTATTGAAACTGCATCGATGAAAAATGTGTTGCTGCACGACTGCATATTCCACAAGTTTTATAATCCTTTGGCTGTATTGTGTTTTTACACATGCAACACTTATATCAGGAATGGTACGATTTCTGGTACTCGATTTGCGGGTCAGTGGTTCACCATTCAAGTCTTATACTGAAATCGATTCAAATCTAATAATGAAGGAAGATGGAACAGCAACATAAATATTCCCTCAGGTTTTTGAACATGCCAATGTGCACAAAGTAATAATCGGAGATGAGATGGCAATCACATTCCTAATGCTTAGCACGATTAGCCAAACGCCGAAACTAGTTATGTTTAAAAATTCCATCATATACAGCTCGTCTATCATTTTTTTCGTTTTCAATATAACTAAAAATCATTCATATTTTTAAACTTCCAGCTTATCGTTACTTGGGTCTCCTCCAGATCAAGATTTAATGACATGGGCTAACCAGAAGACATTGCCAAAAGATTGTCCTGTTACCAGGTTCATGTTACGACAAAGTACAAAGAGATTTTTAGTCAAGTTTCTACCTAGCATTTTTCTTCTGATTTTATGTTATACCCTGTGTTTACAGTCCTGCTGTCTTTCTGTGAAAGATATTTTGGTGAGTGAATATTAATAAAACTGGAAATAAATTTTAGAATCTGTTTTTCGTTAATTCAACCTCAATGACACTGCAGTGATTTTCACACATTCAGCCAACCTTTTTGATGCTGCTGTATTGGTCATCATCTGCCTGAAGCCAATTTGATTTTAAAAGTACTGTAAATTAGGTTTTTAATTCATATACCTGGTACTATAATTAATGCAAACAATATCATATAAAATTTAAACTAAATGTGCAAAATCATAGATATTTACACAAAGTTATACTTGGAATTCTAGTTATTCTTTTTTTTTTGTTGATTTTAGTCACCTGATGACAGCATTCAAACACCTAATTCTTCAGAATTGAACATTCCTGCCGGGTAAGTGATTAATATTAATTATATGCTAGGGTTTTACTGTCTAACTTGGTAATTTTAAAATAGAAATTGCTTCTTTCTCTGTTAATGTTGCTATTGCAAAGCAGATAATGACAGGTAGTACATGCAGGTAGACTTAGCATTTCAATTGATGATGTACTTAACCAGACTTTTCATAAGTTGTCTAATATATTGTTACTGATATATCAGAATTGAGGGTGAGGGGCCTAAGGGCTAGGCTCGCTTTCTATCTATTAGTAATTCACAGGAAGTCAAATCAATGCTATATTGCAATATACTAAGTTTAAGAACAGCATACAGAAAATTTAGTATAATAATTCTGTCTGAAGAGTGAGAAAATACAGTCTTTACAGAAGCAATATTGTGAATGTGAAATTAGGAATGATTCATAAATGGGACCTCCCGAAGTATGCGCACCAAGATGGCGCACAACCTGAACACAGGTTGTGTACCAGGTAAGGGTTCAGGTTATGCGACATCTTGGTGCGCATACTTAGGAGTACCCATAAATGTGTGTGGGATAGCCCATGACAGATGTTTCAATCATGTTGACGCTGAAGGTTGCAGGTTAATCTTCCTCTTCACCCAGGATGCGATAAATTGAGTATTCAGATGCCCAAATGGTAAGATTCGAGTTGTTGGAGTGTCATAGGTTGCTTTCCTAGAGCCTCGTTGAAATTAAAACATTATGAAAATAGGAACAAACACACAAATTTGAAATACACTTATACAAAAAGATCATAATTTTTAGTCTACAAAATATTCAAGGCATAAAAAAGAGAGGATGAGAAAATTCTTGTCATGGACAAGCAAGTCAATAGTCACTTGTTAGATTTATTCGCTAATTGATGAATTAAATATGTCAGTGACATGCATAAAATAAGCATAAGCTTATAAACAAACAGAATAAGGAATAGGCTAATAAGAGCTAAGGCATGCAGCAAGAAAGCAAAAAGGAGTGGAGCGTTGTTTCATATCTGCTTACGGAAAGGTAATTATTCAGGATAAAAAAAAAATACGTTGTTTTGCTGTAAATTATTTCAGAGGAGGAAGGAATGAAGTTGGCAAGTAGTCGAATACCTGTAAAATTGATAAATTCGAGAATTTATGAATGTTTTTTTAGTGGCATTATATGTGTTTTATTCATGAAGTTGATTTGGAAACGTTAACATAATGCTAAGTGCTAACTATATGACTTATAGTAAATTATTGGTGACTGAATATATATATATATGTGTAATAGGTGGAATCTATTCATCATATTGTACCATTATTGGTTATTGGTACAAGATTACCCTATATAGTAAAAATTAGATATGTATGAATATATATGAATAGGTGAATTTTTACAACATATTGTATCGTTATTGGTTATTGATAGAAGATTATTATATATTTCATTATGGCTAATTATATATACCGGTACACACATAAAAATGTGTAATTGGTGGAATCTGTGTATCATATTCTACCATGTACCAATATTTTCATTGGTTATTGATAGATTGAAGATTACTATATATTGAGTTGTTACCAATCAGATATATGTAAAAATTTGCAACAATAAACTACAATTACTTCGATATATAGTATGTGAAAAATGTACCATTATTACTATGCTTTCCATATATTTTCTATGACATGGGTGATTTATGGATTTCATTCAAATTTGTGTGGGTGAAAAGTAATTTCTTGTCCATTTCAGAGATTCTTCGATTACAATGCAATGTTTTCCATATTTTATTATCACTGTTACTCCGAATAATAGTATTGAAAGTTCAACTATTGTCCGTATTTCATTGTGGGATTCCATGGCTGATTTGCAACGTAAAAGGAGAGCAATACAGTTGGTTGTCTTGAGCTTCTTTGTTCTTTATTTATGTGAGTATTTGTCATATTGCCTTTCATTTAAAATATAGACTAACATTTCTACAAATAAGATTTTTTAATGGCTTGATTTTGGGGCCGTTAGTTATTTCTACGTGTGAAGAAACTAGCAGAAAAAGAGTAGGTCTAATCTTAGCATGTATTATTCAAACTTTATCTTCAATTCAAGCATTTGCTTGAGAAGTTTTACAGATTATTTTGAGTCTTCTTTCATGGTATACTTATAAACTCTTAATGTACTTTTAAAGCAATACTGTGTATAACTATGTATTATGCAATGTATGTTGAATTGTAAAGAGTAACACTAGCAAATTTATCATGCTATGCATGGACTGCAACAAGTTTTCTATTTTCTGAAGCATTCTTTCCACTGGAATGTAATATTTGCTTTCATAAATCTTCCTTTCAAAATAAATTAAACTATTTTTATTGAATGGAACAATGTGTGAATAAAATCCTTACATTTGCGTCTCGTCACATTGTACGGTTCAATCAGACGTTATGTAAATATTTATTTTTCGCTAAGGTATTGTGTCAACATCGTACGTACATCGGTGGAAAAGACTTACGCAGACTTCTCTGTATTTGAACAAACTATGGTGCATAACGGTTCCGATATTGTAAGTCTGAATAGATGTAAAATTTCTTTTGAAAATTTTGATCATTAAATTTTTCTATTATGATTTGAACAAGTTTCATTTTGATCTTAACCAGCAGTAAACCTAAAATGAGCAAAAAAATTGACTAACTGTTCTTTGCATAATTGTACTGTTTGCTTTTTGACAACTTTGCACATTCTTTTTTGACAAGTATGAATGATTTGTAATCGAAAGCATACTATAAGGAGAATTTTGGTTTTTTACTGTGATATAATATCATTATAAGCTTAAAGATGGTTCAGTATTTAACATGATACAATTATGAGGCTTGGTATTAGTATTTACTCCTAATTACATCCAATTGAACTTCACTTCTTTTTCAGATTGCTTTGTCAAATTGTAGGTGGTTTTGTTGCCTATTCTGTATTCAACAACAAGAGTAGTTCAAACAACAAAATTTTTCATCAAAAACTTTATAATTTTTCTTCAAGTTGGTTGGCCTTGGATTTTGGTCGATACCAGGTAAGATAACGTCCGTAATATTTCCATGAAAAGTTATCATCGTGATGTAAATCAGTGATTCCCAAAGTGGGCGATATCGCCCCCCAGTGGGCGAAAACGATACAGAGGGGGGCGAAAAAGTCTAAGGGGGCGATAGGGGGGCGATTTCGCGAAAGCTGTTTTATGTTCGGCGCACTTAATTCTGTACTCTGTGTGCATTCGCAGACTTGAATCATGTGGGCGATATTCACACGCGAAAGGATTGCTGGTCTCGTCTTTGCAGTAAGGTAAGGTAGTTTGCGTATCCCAGTGGTCGGCAAAATACTGCCGAAGTAAAATAATCTGGCCCGGGACGATTCACTGAATGGACCTTTCCCCAACCTTTGACCGCGGAAAATTCTTTCCATACTTTACCATTTTAAAATTTTTGGTGCTTATTTTAAGAGTGGTTTCGCGAGCTGTGGCCTGTAAAATGGGGTATTTGATTTAAAATATCATTCTAATATACTCCATTTAACAATCTGTTTTTTAAAAGTACCGATAAAGAATTTTAGCCTAGTCTATCACAGCTATTTTTACACTAATTTTTGATTGCTGTATTTAAACTGAAACTCATAGAAAGACAAAGTAATCATTGACTTATTTGATTTATATTTAAATTTCCGAAAAACAACTAAATACTAACGAATATAATTCAAAAACGCGAAAATGAGGTAGTGCTCACGACCACCCCTGAAATCTGTCCGAGTGAGAGTGTCTGAGCGCCTGCGAAAGGGGGCATTGTTACGTTTTTTGCATCTTGCTGATTGGCCAATGTCACGAAGTAAACAAGGAAGTCTATGCCAGGGGAAATATCCAAACGGCGGTTTTGACGATGAAAATTTTTTATTTATAATCTACGCTCGAGGAGGAAATTACATTTTTTTACGTAACAGAATTTATCGTGAGACACGTTTAGAGTAAATTATACTATATCCTAACAATTTAGTGAATAGCCACTCGTTTAACGAGCCTACAATTTAATTATAATTAGACAAATGGAAACACGCAGAAAAGTTGATGCTGAGTGCAGGGGTTCAATAGCGCAGTAAATATTCGAATATATTGCAAAGCAATAAGGAAATAAAATTCATATTCATATTCGGGAGATTCATCATGCTTGATTTTTGTAAGAATGTATCTTCTTAAAGAAAATATATATTTATCAAAATTTCACAAATCGTACGAAAATATTCACTTCGATGTTTGGAAGTACATATTTGTGCAAACCATTATTTTCGAAAATGAACATTACAAAGAACAAGCAAAGAAGTGGGTTTGGTGATGCCCATTTAGAAAATGTTTCAATCTTGGCGTCGTAAAGCTATCCAGCGTGATTCAGCAACAAGACAGTGTCACATTAAATGTCATTGTAACATTTTTTTAATAAGACGACTGAGTTGAGTTCACGATTGTCGCAGTTATCGCGTGTGTTCCGTTTTTAACTCTCAAAAAATATATGCGACCCGCAAAAGACTAGCAACCCTGAATTTTGTCCTGCGATCGACATAAAATTTGCCGACCCCTGGGCCGTAGCCGATAGTCAGTCACGGCTTCTTCCACATCCGAGTCCATGAATCCAAAAAAATGGCTGGTTAATTATGGACTGGAGGCCGTGATAGGATGAGGAATCGGGGATGGATTTTTCCGAAATATTTTGGTGCAGGTCATCAGGCTGTACGAATGAATGAAATGTACGAAAATCATTATTATAAGTTTGGAAAATTAACTTTGTTCTTATTATTTTAATGTGAAATGGGGTGAATTTAGGAAGTGAAATGCTATAAGGCAAGAGTACACGGCGGTTTTTGAGGAGGTAGGACCCTGGATTCTTTCATTTCCGACCTATTATATGGTGAAAAAGGGGTTTTCAGCCGTGCTACTATTGCTATTAGAACAATGAAATCAATATTCCATCAGTAAATGGGGTAATTTTAGATATAATAAAAAACTCGCTGAAGAACACCAAGCTCATCTATCTCATTAAAAAACACTATAAACTATGATTTGTCTTCTTATTTGGTCTGTAATAAATTCGTTTCTGACTTTACATTTTTTTGTAGTGCAGGGGGGCGATGAAGTTGTATAAACTACTTTAGGGGGGCGATGGTCAAAAAAGTTTGGGAACCACTGATGTAAATAATGGTAGTGAATTGAATGAATTAGTAAACTCAGACGAGCAAAATTTCGCAAATGTTATTGCATATGCCCTGCATAGCATCATATCTAAGAAAGCAGCTACTATATAATGTTGAATATAGGTGTGTACTATGTATTGAGAATTGATTTTATATGAATCAATTGTTTGCAAATTATTACATGTTACTTTGCATTTAGATCGCAACTTGGACTCTTCTTGCTGTGTGGCCAGTTCTTTGTCTCGGTTTCAATGAGCTCTGGAAATCAAGAGAGATAAATATGTGGAATAGAGGACAGAAACGTGCACGCCTTGATTTTGGGACAAAACTTGGGATGAATTCTCCCTTTTAAATTGACATTCTTCCTTAAGTTAACTGTACTTAAATTTTGTCCTTCTATTATTGTGCATATGTTGGCTTCAAATTTATATTGGGCATTCTAGAGTTATGGGATCAAACCAAGTCTTAGAATTATCATATCTCAATATGGTGTTTGAAATCCTAATCACCAGATAAAATATATTGATTATTCACTTCTGTTTTCTTATCAATACTTCTTCAAATTTTGTTGAGATCTTGGGAGCATCTGTTCTATTATTTCTAGATGATGTGTATATATACTTTGTAATAGCTGAAGCGTTATGCTCTCATCCAAAATTTTTGATTTATCACTAACTCTTATGCTTATTTTCTATCTGTTTTTTCATTGCAATGAAACTTGATATTACCTATAGCAGACAATCATTTTGTATTTGTGTGCAATCATAATATGACACCGATCCGAAATGATGTCCATCTCCAGGCCACACATTTCAAACAGTTCAAAATTTCTATATGGGGCTTTTGTGAGTTGTTAGGGATCGCCACCTCTTGGTATGTAATTTAATCCTATCAATTTTGTCTTTCATTAAGAATTGGAATGCACAATGCACACATCTTATCATGCTTTGGATGTATGAGTTTAAAAGCAGATAGAAACATTTTTCCCTCACCCCAAACCCAAAGGCAACTAGCATTGTGATGACAAGAGAATTCTTAACTTTTACCACGGCGTGTCAAAAGCTTTGGTAATCCTGGCATAGCCTCTGCTTTATAATATTCCCTTATTCCCCCTGAAAATCGTAATGGGCCAACATTTTTTAAGTTCATATATTATAAAGTAATCCATAAGATCCAGACATATCTAAGGCACACAAAACAAGGACAATACTGGTCATTATAAGCATTTTATATCAATGGAGGGACCAGTAACATTTTGAAATAGAGAGGTTAGGATAGGTTTATTACTCTTAAAAATGACAATTCATTGAATTGAGAATAGTTCCAGCTACTGTGTGGATATGCCAATCTACAGTCAATTTTGAGATGAAACAAGAACTCAAAAGCACATCCATATGGGATATGTTTGATATAGGAAATATCATCAAGAGTAAATATATAAAAAAGCAGCTTTTAGAGACTAGTTGTTGTATTTTAAACAACAAGGAGTATTATATATTCGTTACACTGATACATTTTCTCACTGAGTCTTAAGTACAAAGCACCCCTGAGTTGTGAGTGCCAAATTCTTGATCTTCAGTAAGCAATTATTATTAATGATAAAATAATGTAATGTGTAAAAATTTATAGGTAACTCGATACTAAATGGCCAATGTACAAATGTTGTACAGATTTGACTGAAAAACCTTTATTTGGAGAGGAACTAAACACTTGAAAGTTTCAGTAATAAAATTTTGAAAAAAATATAAAAATACACATCAAAAGTAATATTTCAGATTTGAAGCTTGGTTCAAGAGTTCATATTAAACTGTAATATACATCAAAGTGCATTCTCAAATCAATTCATAACATATTCAAAATATGAAGTAAAAGGGCATATAAGTTTGAATAAAATACTATATATTTAAATATTGAAGAAAAGCACCTTAAAGTAACACATTAACTATGCACTTCACTGTATATGTACTATACGTCATAAGAGCACAGTTTGCCATATGATTTTCAAGATAACAACATGTCAGTTTGCTGTAGTTCATGATAGTAGCATTGCTTTTTATTCACATTTTATTGAGTTTTTCGTGTAACTCACTTTCGTGCATGCACCATTTGCATAGCAGAGTGGTTAATCACCCCATACCCTTGTGAATAACTGTTAAGTTTTTGCTTGGGACTTCCCGTTGACGAGGCATTCTTATACATCCCATTAATTGGCTTCCGACCAGCTCTTGGTGGAGTTGCAGAAGATGGTCTTTGGTTCAATCTTGTGCTGCCTACGTTGAGTGTTGGGTTATCTTGCCTTGTCAAAACCTGATGGTTGTGGTTGGCATTAAACTGTTGGGTTAGTGATCTTGGGCGATGCCCTCCATTAAGTGGCGCAGAATTTTGTCGCGCTCGACCGTACGATCCTTCAAAACTATTCTGTCTGTGAACGGGTTTTCCAGCTGAATGTACCCTTGATTGCATGCTTGAAACTCGATGATTTTGGTTTTGAGGGGATGATATTTTAACAGTTCGTCCAAAAGCAACACCATACTGAGCTCGTTGGTACTGTTGTGTCTTTTCAGCAGAATGATTTTGATGTGAGGGGTAATGATATTGCTTTTCTGGGGCAGACGTGGCTTCAATTTGATGGTGTTGAACGTGAGATGGTGGTTTTTCAGGAGTTACCTCATACTGCACAGTCTTTTGCGTATAGACATTATTTGGCTCAGCTGGTGGCTGGGATGTCTGTTCTCTCGGTTTGATAATTTTGTGGTGACTGTTTTTTCTGTTTTGTTCTTTTTCGTATTCTTGCTGTTGCACCACCATCTTCCCATCACCAGCACTACGAACATCACGTTGCTGTTTATCTACTTGTATCTGTTGTTTTTCCAGCAATACCGATCTTTTCTGTCTTCGCATTTCTGCTTTTTTCTGGGTGATCATTTCGTACAGTTTATTTCTGTATGCAGCAACGGTCAGCTGAGTGTCATCGTCCACTGGGGGAATGACGTCATAATCCAGGCTGATTTCTGACTTCGCATTGTGAAACCTTGAAACATATGGATGTTTCAAGCACTCCCTAGCAGAAGGCCTTTTCTCTGGATCGAATACTAATAAACTTTTTAAAAGATCCATTGCATCATTTGAAATACCTGGCAGCATGTCTTCAAGCGGCCTTTTCGGCCTAAGACTTGCCCTTTCCAGTATGGAATGGCCATACTCTGATTTGATAGAATCAATTTCTATTCGAGATGGCTTTGGAATGCTGCTCATTATTCGTTCGATTTGATTTAATGTGGATGTACCTGGGAAAAGAGGTTTTCCCAATAGTAGTTCCCCTAAAATGCACCCCACTGACCACATATCAACACCTTTAGTGTATCTCGGGGATGCAAGCAAAATTTCTGGGGCACGATACCACCTTGTAGCGACATATTCTGTGAGGGCAGGATTGCCTTGCTCCTCCTGTTTAAGTTGGGTTAGGGATCGGGCCAGGCCAAAATCACATATTTTTACAAAGCAGTCACTATCAAGTAGGATATTTGAAGGCTTATGATCTCTGTGAATGACATTTCCAGAATGCAGATACATGGTGGCTTTTAACAATTGATACATAATATATTGCTTATGAATGTCTTTCAAAATATTGCCTTTTTTAATCACATGATGTAAATCAGTGTCCATGAACTCAAAAACGAGGTATATATCACGATCATTATCGGCTTTTAATACATTCAACAGTTTTATGATGTTGTCGTGGTCTCCGAATTCCTGAAGGAACATTATTTCACGGAACGTCCTTTGAGCATCTGTGCTATTTCTGAAGGCATCAAAAATCTTTTTCAGTGCGACAGTTTGTCCTGTGCGTTTATCCAATGCTTTCCACACAATCCCGTATGCGCCCTTTCCAAGTCTTCGTTTAATTTCATATTTCTCAGTAATATGGGGATCAATATCGTTGCTCATTTTAAACTGTCGTTATTTCACCCCCAACTGTCTTAAAAACTTCACTTTAAATGCTTTTACGGACAGATAAATCCGTTCTACTGAATTCAATCAGACTTGGCGACGTTTGAATGAGTAATCGAGCCGACGATAAAAGACATTTACACCAACGCTTCCCACGATAACCCGATTACAAGTGGGCTTTGTGTTTTGTTACGAGCTCCACTGTTGCTAAGGGCTGAACTGTGGATAAACAAAAGTTTACATCCGTTACAACGCCCGCAGCGCCACCTCGAGGCTGCTCTTTTTGTTTATGATGTAATAACTAATTATGACATCACACTATGGAACAATGAAGTGTTTTTCTGTATGGCTCGCACTCAGTTGCGTATTGTTTTTCTCCCTCCCTCACTCGCGGCTATGACGGCGGCGTCAGTAGTGATTCATTTCTCGTGTAATATCGTCAGCGCCAATAAATATCGGATACCCAATAAAACGATGAAAAATTGATATTGATATCTGGAGTCGTGGCATAGAATACCAAAATCCATTGATGTACTTCATTTGAAATGTATGTAATCTATGCTCAAAACAAACGAATAAACAGACATGCCTTTATCGGCTGCTTTATAAGATATCTTCAACGAGTGTACCTTGTTTCACCGAAAATAAGACAGGGTCTTATTTCAATTTTCTTTCGAAAAATAACACTAGTGCTCATTTTGGGGGATGTCTTATATTTTCTTTTTTTCAAAAACAAAATTACAAAGTACAGAAATGCGATACAAAATATGGAAACCGATATTCATTTACTTATGAATAACACGTTTTTATTTAAAAAAAAATACTGAACATATAGCTTACTCAAAAATCATACTCTGTATTGTCTTGCAACGTCACCAGATTCATTAACTTCAATGGCGATTAAAACGTGTAGGAGAGATTTCTTGCTATCGATTAGGTCAAAAAAGAAATTCGTGCTATCAACTGGGTCTCATTTTAAGAAGAAGGCTTATTTTGAAATCACTTTTAAAATTTAAGCTAGGTCCTATTTTCAGGCTAGGTTCTATTTTCGGGAAAACACGGTATCAAAAAAATAATATGAATAGAGAGAGAGAGAGAGTTTATTTTTATTTGTCAAACCATGAAACACACAATACATGCATGAATATATAAATAATAAGAAAACAGATGCTTTGGTATAAGACTGGGAGACAACGATACGATCTTTTGGGGTCATCAGAGTCTGTTGCCACCCATACAATAAATCATCAGGTACGGTGTAAGGAAATACAATATCTCTCGTTTATTCATTATATACACTATTTACAAGACTTTCTTATTTGTGAAAATAATAAATTTATGATATACTGATCTCTTCCATATGGAACTTAATTTGCATTGTACTTGGTTTGTTGAAACTTTGTGACACAATCTGTTCCATTTTGGTATACTGTATAACAGATGTGGTCAACCTGTATTGGGTTGAAATCGACTAAATTTTTATCAAATATCTAGCAATCGACTGATCGATAATATTGTCACACACAAAATGTATGATTAAAAGTTTTAGACTGAGCGTCAAAAAGGTTCCCTCTTTAATTTTCTTGGGTCGCTTGTTTTTCAACATTTACCTGAAAGTTACTAATTTTATTTTTGAATAAAATAATTTTATTTTAATCAATACTTGGTATTGAAGTGTTGCTCAATAGTAATTGTATATGTGTGAAGTATCACAGTGTAAAAACTTGAACGAATCTACTTTGCTCAAAACCACGCCACGATTTCAAAACTTGCTGATAGCAAACAAGTGCAGCTTTCTCACTTTGAGGTAATTTCTGAGGAAATAAATGTTACGTAAGAATGATTTGTTTTACGTTAATCATTTTGTGACCATGAAGGTGCTACATCTCTACATATTTTGAGCATATTCTTAAGTCGCGAGATTCAACAAAATTTATTTTTTGAAACATTCGGGTCACTTGAAAAAGAGGTTTGGAACCACTGCCCTAGATTCCAGGTTGTGGAACTAAATATTTATTTATAACTAGGAAATAAATGTGGTGACCATGAAACGTAGGGTACGATTTCCTGATAGGATTTGTCATATTTTGCATTACCGGATTGTGTCGGAACTTTTTGACAATACCGCTCCCAGAGATGTTTTAGTTGGATTAGTGCTTCGAACTTACTTGAAAAGCCCACGCTGGATAGCACATACAAATAAAAATACTGTTAAATAGGGTGGATTCAGTTTTGACAGGTAATGTTCATGTTTAAATATTCGTTTGACGCAAATTCCTTTTCGGCATGTTAAGTTCACTCAAAATCAGATACGATCGACCTCCCGAGGCGTGGCGATCGACGTGTTGGCCACCACTGCTGTATAACGTTATATGTTGTTTACCATTCTGCTCTGACTTTTCTTACTACGTAAGGTGGAATTTCTACCAGCGATTATTAGGTATTTCTACCCGCGAGGAAGTATTAAATTAGTGCAAGGCGATCGGCGTAATTTTTTCGTTACTGATAGGGCCTGCTACAGCATAGAAGCAATATTGTTTATAATTAAAAAAAAACTCGTCTTATAACCTTTCTGTAGCATTATCATAGTAACTCACGATTAAAATGTATCGCGCATAAGGCCTTACTTCACAAGAAAAAACTAACAATATACGTATAGTAACCCGAGTTGTTTAGCTGGCACTTGTTGCGATAATTCTTATCTTTGTACAGCTGCCAAGGGTCGCGAACGGCGATTTGTCGCTTGTCTTTTGGGACAATATCGCGCCTACCACTATCGGAAGTACTGGATCATGTTGTTATTGAATATCATATCGTTAGGACACCCTGGGGAGGTCAGATACGATATCGAAGTGCTTCAGTTGTATTGGCTACAAATTGATCATTAAATCTCTTGCCAAATAGGAATTCATATATCTTTGTTGTGGTGTATTTGGGTAATGAAGCCAACGTGGAGGAAGGTGGTTTTTAAATGATCAATTGTTTTGAAATTGAAATGAAAACATTGCACCACGAGCCATTTCACCAGCATTATTGGTTTCAATATGAGACTCTACTTCTATCAAATTTAAAAATATATTCCTTGTTTGATTATATTGGTGGAGAGAGCAAGGAGTGGGAGTTTGGCATATCCTCACTGGAATCGGAACCGGACTCGCATTTTCAAACTTTGAGGTGGGCGGAATTGAAATTCTGAAATTACCGGAATCCGTTGTCGGAATTACAGATAGACGCTCACGATGATTGTAATATACTACAACTCAAAATAAATAATTTAACTATGCGATCTTGACAGTCTATTAAATGAGGCCTTTGTATACGCTAATACTTCCGTGATCAAAATTTGATTTCGGAGCTGAAGTCAAGTTATTTTTCAACACTGAGTCAACTATCAATTTAACCACCAGTGGGCGCCATTGGACTTTGTTTTTCGGTCCGATCCCATGGAATTCTACCACTGAAGCTGTAGAAATCATCATCAGATTGTACAGCCCGTGATACAGACTTGTCTCATCCATACCTCGTATTATCCTGCAATCGCAAATATTTGCAATACGAAAAAACAAGGCTGATGTAATTTTTATTTTTGCAGAAAACTGCTTTTCAAAAATGAAATTTCACAATTAGTTGCAATGTTTACTTTTGCCTAAAATGGGTTAATCTTCAATCAAAGTCAAAATAGTAAGACGTTCTCACATTTCGCACTGAAGAAGTAGTAACCCTTTACAATATATACAATAATGATCTTCAATTTAACAATCAAATTCAACTATATTAATAGAAATATGTTTTAGCGCGGAGTGATGGGATCATTTTACAGAAACCATTTTGAATCAAATTTTCGCGTTGAATTGAATCGATATACATAAACAATTCAAGTAATAACAGTACAGAAATTTCCTTCTCATTATATCAGTTTATATTATGAAAACAAATTATTCATTGTGTTGTGATCAAACCATTTCATTTTATAATTTCGCCCACTAGTATTGCTTTTAAAATTGTTCATGCAAACAATAGCGTTTAACTATGTAAAATATGAAACAATGCCCCATCAAAGGAAGCGAGTGATATCGAAAATTAGTCTTCGAAATTACTATAATAAGATTCTAATATGTCATCTAATTTCACTCGATAAAAGTGCATTATACCAATCAAGATCTAAATATATTTTTTGATTTGAAATTCTGTTTTTGTAAGGCACTAGCATGATCGTTTCCTATCTTCCCTGTTGTAAATATCAGTTGCATAATATAAAATTTTCATGTAAATACTTTTCAATTGACGCTGCCCGCCCACGTTGCGATTTTATTTGTAATTCGTATTCTATCTCCATCTGTTTTTATGTAGTGGTGATAAATTGTCGCATTTTAAGATCTTCTTTACTCTATTATTCGAGTATAATTCTCAATTTTTTATTAGTATGTCTCTTGTTTTGATGTCTTGTTTATTGTTCTACACTGGTGTCATAATGATATGACAAACATCGAAAATTAAATCAGGAAAGCGGGGTATTTTCATCAATTTTTTTTGACAACAAGGTGTCGAATTTTTGTATTCTTGTATAAGACGTCCAGTTTCAATTCTATTATGTGCTTGCATCAGTGAATTAACTGTATCGAATTTTACAAATCAGAAAACTTGATTGTGTATTTGTAACACATCAGCACTGCAAAAGTTTTAAAAGGGATTTATCAAAATAACTTTGCGTGATCACAATTTCTAGGAGGAACCATGGAACAGAACGAATAATTTAGTCATATGTTTATACATAATTATTTATTGGACGTGTAATGTAAAATGGATTCGATTCAGGCATAATACCATTCGATCAACCACGTTCGGTGGTTGACAGCACCCATTTAACGATAGAGATTCATACCTGACAACGATTTTACTTCAGTCTTTTTCGTGTTGATATTTATTTGTTATGATGTGTAATGTGTGAATGCATGAATTTGGAAAGACCTAATTAATGGAGGCTATAGCATTCGTGTCGTACATACCTGGGAAAAATCTTTCAGTTCAATTTCTATTTTGACACCAAAAGCACGATTACTTATGCGATCAGGGTCGACTTCTATCCATTTCGAAGTATGTTACTTGAAAGACCTTTCTGTAAAGTTTTTTTTTATTCTCATCTCTTCGAGTCGGACAAGTATGTTTATGATTCTTGTTTATGGGCACTTTACCAATGTTTGGGATCTTTCTGCATAGTCATGCTCAATTCATTGCTCCAGC